GTGAACCTAGACTAAAGCTTGGATGTGCATTCACCACTGTTCAGCCGCAGCCATCCATTGCTTTACAAAGGGAGCTGTACACAAAACACTTGTCACTCCCAGCTGCAGAAACAAAGGCTTTTTTTCTCCACACTGTAGGACACTCTGTGCCTGTTTGAATGAGGCCTAAAATCTCAACAGGGGATCTAATGTTTCCCTGATCCACCCAAAGCTAAAAGTAAAAAATGTTTTAACTGTACATATAATTAAAGATGAAGTCTGGCCAAACATAAAGAGTATATATACGCTAGGGCTGAAACTAATAATTAGTTGGCCGATTTATTGTTTTGATTAATCGGATAAAATCCTCTAAGACAGTTTGGTGTATAATTTAGTTAATACAGTATATAAAGTAGTTCATTCTTGATTATCTATATGCATTGGTAAATCTAAATAACCAGCTATATGGTTGGGGAACAAAATATCTAATCCACTCTGAGAATAATAGACAGACGAGATGTATATACTATTAGGAGGCTGAATCTGGTACATACCATCAGACTCAGAGATTTAAAGAAAAATTCAAATAAAAAAATACCGGTACCTAAAAGACAGTTTTTCATATTTTCAGACAGGACTGTGATATAATATTATGCATGACAGACACCCTTGGCATAGGCAGGTAACTTGATACAAGCTACCTGCGCCTGCTATCACTTATACACGAACACATTTTTTTATTCAAAAATTTTTGTTTTAAGAACGTTCGTTCAATTTTCTAATCGTTAGCGGGGTCAAAGCGATATTCATTTTCAATTACAGTGACAGGAAAATGTGAAGGAGCAGAATAGAAAACTTTAATTGTAATGCCTTATATTCTATATCAAATATTGGTGAAGTGCTTTGAATTTAACATAAATCAAATATCACATAGCCTCATTACCATAACCCAGGGCTTAAAATTTCAAGTCCTGATCTACTAGCCAGGCCTTAAGAGATACTCGCCACCAACAAACACACACAAACAGAGACACCTGTACATACACACAGAAACATCTACACACACGCACAGACACATGTACACACACACATACAGACACATGTATACACACACAGGCACGTACAGACATGCATACACACAGATACATGTACATACACAGAAATACACACGCACAGACACATGTACATACATACACATGTACATACATACACATGTACATACATACACATGTACATACATACACATGTATGTACATACACGCACACACACACAGACACATGAACACACACACATGTACAGATACACTCATGTACATACACACAGACACATGTACATGCATACACAGACATGTACATGCATACACAGACACACACACACACACACACACGTACATATATACACACACACACCTATAAAAAAGTTGCAGTACTTTGTTGTTCACTCACAGAGCTGGGTACTGCACTCTAGGGGGAGGCAGAGAGGCAGGAGGCAGCACACACTCCTTCCTTAGTTTTCACTGCGCTTAGTTATTGAGCTGTCTGACTGCTCCCAGTGCCAATGATAGATCCGGCCTGAGCTCCGAGCCTGCTCAGCAAAACGGCCCTGTGGGACACACTCACCCCAACCATAAGTTCCACTCGCCATTGGCGAGCAGGTGAGTGGAAATTTCAAGGCCTGCCATAACCCTTTATCAGAAACAGATCCCCCCAGTATTCAGTATCATTTTGTGAATGTGCCTTTATAATAATAATATAATGTCTTATATTACCTCCATTCTATCAACCTTCCTGGGTTCAAATGCTGATCTTCTCTGTACAGAGCCCTGCACTGAGCTGTGTATGTGCTGCACTGTGTATACTGACATGTATGGACGGTGTACTGAGCTGCACTGTATTTTCTGATAATTTATTTTTATTATTATTGTTATACAGTATTTATATAGCGCTAAAAGGTTTGCTCAGCACTGGTGATTATAGTGGGGGACAGAACATGAGACAATGCAGTAACAAAACAAAAAACAAATAATGCATTCTCTATGCATGCCAACTAATCAGCTGACTAAATAATAAACTATGAAAATAGTTGACAACTACAGTGCCTTGAAAAAGTATTCATACCCCTTGAAATTTTACACATTTTGTCATGTTGCAACCAAAAACGTAAATGTATTTTATTGGGATTTTATGTGATAAAACAACACAAAGTGGAAGGAAAATGATAAATAGCTTTCCAGACTTTTTACAAATAAATATCTGAAAAGTATGGCATGAATTTGTATTCAGCCCTGATACCCCTAACTAAAATCTAGTAGAATTAATTGCCTTCAGAAGTCAACCATGTGTAATTTAATCTCAGTATAAATACAGCTGTTCTGTGAAGCCCTCAGAGGTTTGTTAGAGAACATTAGTGAACAAACAGCATCATAAAAGCCAAGGAACACACCAGACAGGTCAGGGATAAAGTTGTGGATAAGTTTAAAGCAGGATTAGGTTATAAAAAAAATATCCCAAACATTGAACATCTTACAGAGCACTGTTCAATCCATCATCCGAAAATGGAAAGAGTATGGCACAACTTCAAACCTACCAAGACATGGTCATCCACCTAAACTGACAGGCTGGGCAAGGAGAGCATTAATCAGAGAAGCAGCCAAGAGGCCCATGGTAACTCTGGAGGAGCTGCAGAGATCCACAGCTCAGGTGGGAGAATCTGTCTACAGGACAACTATTAGCCATGCACTCCACAAATCTGACCTTTCTGGAAGAGTGGCAAGAAGAAAGCCATTGTTGAAAGAAGGTCATAAGAAGTCCTGTTTGCAGTTTGGGAGAAGCCATGTGGGGGAAACAGCAAACGTGCAAGAAGGTGCTCTGGTCAGAAAGAACTTTTTCACCAAAAAGTTCTGCTATGTGTGGCGGTAAATGAACACTGCATACCATCCCCACTGTGAAACATGTTGGTGGCAGCATGTTGTGGGGATGCTTTTCTTCAGCAGGGACAGGGAATAGACATGTGCAAAATGTAATAAAATTTTTTAATTTGTTTTGTTTCGATTTGTTGACTACTTTCATTTTATTTGATTAGTTACATTTGTTTTAATTTTTCGGAATTTGTTTTGTTTCTTCAAATTCAAGCAAATTCTAAATTCCAACGGATTCGAAAAAATTCTAACGTTACAATCCATAATCCACAATCAATATGTTTTTGATGGTAGATGGGCTGTATGAGGAGTTGCGTTACCATATTGGTAATTTCTATTTCAGCAAAATTTTCACAGTGCCTTTGTTGATCACTACTGACGTCACCATAGCGCAGCTCACAATTTTTTTGGAAAGTATTTGTCTTTTCTATTCTTTTTTATTACTTTATATTCTATTCTAATGTATTCTGTTTGAATTCAAATTCATTCTATTAAAAATTTTAATTTTGGAAGGCAGTTATATTTTTTCAATTTTATTCTATTCTATTGGTTTTCTATACTATTCTATTCTTTGATTCTCTATTCTAATCTTTTCTATTCCTTTCTATTCTATTCTTTGATTTTCTATTCTATTCTAATTGATTCTGTTCTATTCCTTTATTTTCTGTTCTATTTTGCTCTGTTTTTACTCTATTATTTTCTATTCTATACTTTGATTTTTCTATTCTAATTTATTCTATTAATTTCTATTCTATTCTTCTCTCTTCCTTTATTTTCTATTCTAATGGATTCTATAATTTTCTATTCCTTTATTTTCTATTCTGTTTTGTTCTGTTTTACGCTTATAAGTTTCTACTGTATTCTGTTCTATTCTTTTATTTTCTATTCTGTTCTTGTTTCCTGTATTCTTTTCTCTTCTATTTTTATTTTCTATTTCTTTATTTTCTGTTCTATTTTATTCTATTCTTGTTTTCAAATTGGTTTTTGAATTAGTTTTCGAATTTGAATTTGTCTTCGAATTCAAATCGATTCCAATTTCGGTCGAATTTAACTTTGCTATTTCAGATTCATTTAAATTCATTACTCTTGCAATTAGAAATTCGAATACATCCAAATCTCTTAACAGAAAATTTGGCTGAATTTCGATTCGGAACGAAACAAACTGCACATGTCTAACAGGGAAGCTGGTCAGAGTTGATGGGAAGATGGATGAAGCCAAATACAGGGCAATCTTAGAAGAAAACCTGTTGGAGTCTGCAAAAGACTTGTCCTGCTGGAAGGTGAACCTCTTCCAGTCTCAACGACCCTAAACATACATCCAGAGCTACAATGGAATGGTTTAGATCAAAGTTATTGTACGTCCCTTGAGGGCAGGGACTGATGTGAATGTGCAATATATATGTAAAGTGCTGCGTAAACTGGCGGCGCTATATAAGTACCTGAAATAAATAAATAAATAAATTTAAAAGTAAATCCATGTTAGAATGGCCCAGTCAAAGTCCAGACCTAAATCCAATTGAGGATCTATAGCAAGACTTAAATATTGCTGTTCACAGATGCTCTCCATCCAATCTGACAGAGCTTGAGCTATTTTGCAAAGAAGAATGGGCAAAATTTTCACTCTCTAGATATGCAAAGCTGGTAGAGACATCCCCAAAAAGACTTGCAGCTGTAATTGCAGCAAAAGGCAGTTATACAAATTATTGACTCAGGGGGACTGAATACAAATGGACGCCACAGTTTTCACATATTTGTTTGTAACACCTTTTGAAAACCATTTAACATTTTCCTTCCTCTTCACAATTATGTGCCACTTTGTGTTGGTCTACCACATCAAATCCCAATAAAATACATTTACGTTTTTGGTTGTAACATGACAAAATGTGGAAAATTTCAAGGCATTGTATTTTCATAATCGATTATGTTGATTAGTTGTTTCAGCCCTAATATACGCATATCCAATATCTATGTAAAGCGCTATGTAAAGTGACGGCGTTATATATAAGTATATCTGAGGTTGTGCCATTGACTTTTATGAGTTCCATTTAAATGTGTGAAATGCTGTTGTGCTGTCTGTTTAACTTCTTCCTTCTTTTCTTTAAGCTCCCAACAGAATCATCACGAAAACCTCGTGCTAAAAAAGGTATTGTATCATAATATTGATACTATTAGTCAGAGGTATACCAATACTGGCAAATCTCAGGCCATGTGTGAGAATTTGAAACAATTATTTTAAAAGTGTATGCAAAGCCAAAAGGTTTATTTATTACTTTGGGACAGAGCAGGGAAAGGTCTGTTAGGTTTTTATTTATTTAAACTTGTCAGGTTTTTATTGTCATCTGGACTGAAAATTAGGGAAAATCCAACAGTTGTCAATAAGCCTGGGTTCACACTTGTGCGGTGCGGTATATCGCATATGATTCTCACAGGAACTGCACCGCATTCCTGTGCAAATCAAATACGAATTCTGTGCAGTGCAATTTGAGCTGTATATTTTGTATGGCTGTAATCGCACCACATCCTCACCAAAAATGTGCAGGACCCTTTTTTCTTGTGCGCACTAGAATCGGATCACAAGGGTATTCACACCCATGTGATCCAATTCTGCACATTGCACCGCATTTTGCGAAGCAGTTTCAGGGGTGTTGTCAACTTAAAATACACACTCGCAGTGGTTCGCAGGAACGGGGGGTGCGATTTTGATGCGGTGCGGAATTCTCACAGAAATCTGTGCGAATTCTGCACCGCATCTGTGTGAACCCAGGCTCAAACTGGAATAGAGGTGAAATCTTCCAATGGGGACACCTGAGAGTACATTTCCCTCACTTTGGAGTATATTCATCTATCTTCCTGGTGTGTTAATAGGACAAGGAAGTGAAGGGTTGTCTCCCCAATGGGAGTCAGAGGACAAAAAAAAAAAAAAACCTGACGGGTTTTCTCCTTTCCCTACTCATACAAAATTTAAAAAATGGCTTTAGATACACTTTAAATGAAAAATGCTCTGAAGTCATCCCTTGTTTGCTGTACACATGCTTACACATTATCTACCATTAGAACAGGGGACATGAGTGCATAGAAAATTTCCGCTCCCTTCCTGTCTTAGTGACAGGGCCATAGATGTATATGGAATTCCCCCTACCAGGCTAAATCCTAATAGCTTCCACACTGCATCTAAATTAGGGATTTACCTGGAGATGGTCTTCTAGTGTATCTATGGTAAAAATATAAAATCATATATTCATTTCTACATTGCATTTCATTTCCATACAGTCCATGCCATGCAAGATAAAAGGATTGAAGTCATTGGATCGACATGAAAGCCAGACTGCTATCACGTTTAGATGCAAGGTTCATCCGTGGTAGTATATATGATTTAGTACAGGTTTTCTTTAAAATTGTAAGGAGAAGAAAAAACCTGTGATAGTTTAGCTTTTGACATTTTAATTCTAGATTTGCCTATATTTTGTGGAAAACTGCTTATGTTGCCAACTCTTGCTTTTGAGTTAAAAAGAAAACATTAGAAATGTTCCACTCAAGGCATTTAGTCAGGAGGTGCGATTTTCCAAGATATGCAAGAACTGCAGGATCCAAGGGAAATACGCTAACAATCTGTCTTAGAGGTAGGCAGAATGCTTCTATTTCCAGAAGTCATGCCTGTGGCTGTCAGTCATGCAATGCTTCCTTGGACTTGTAGTTCCACAACAGCTGCAGTGTAGAGGTTGCCTAGCCCTGGTCTAGTGCACAGAAAAAAAATGTGTTTGTGTAATTTTATTTGAAATGATAAAACTACAAAATGTCTTTATTGAGCTCAACCAGTTTACAACCGCCTGACCCTGATGTAGTGAGGACAGGCCTCTACTGTAGGAAAAGCAACGTCACTGCCTACTTCAGGGTTTTGGTCCTGCGTGCTCCCCCTCCCCTGCCGGAACCTGCTATGATTGTGCACAGTGGGAGCCTGTCAGCAAGTCCTGGCAAATGATGTATGTACAGTACTGTGCGATAGTGTACTGTACAGAGCCCAGGATGTCCAGAAGATAGAGGAAAAGCAGTGGTGATGTGGAGGGGACTGCTAGGAAGGGCAAAGCAATAACCATGGAAACAAAAGTGAAAATAATTGAGAAACTAGACTGAGGCGAAAAGTTGGTAGACATCGCTCGTTCTTATAACATGAATTGTTCAACCATTGTCACAATTCTAAAGAACAAGGTCAAGATCATGGAACATGTGAAGGCTGCTGTGCCTATGAAGTCAACAATAATATCCAAAAAGCATGGTAAAGTGATAGAGGAGATGGAGAAAAACTTCTCAGTGTGTGGATGCAGGATCGGCATCAGTGTCGAGTCCCATGCAGCTTAATGCTTATTCAAGAAAAAGCTAAAAGCCTGTTTGAAGACTTGAAGAAAAAACGGGGTGAACAGTGTGCATCTTTTACTGCCAGCCATGGATGGTTTAACAGATTCAAGGCTAGAGCCAACCTTCACAACATAAAAGTTAGTGGTGAGGCTGCAAGTGCAGACACCATAGGTGCCCAAAAATTTCCAGCAAAACTTAGAGAAATTATTGACAAAGGTGCTTATTTACCCCAACAGGTTTTTACCATCGATGAGACAGGACTGTACTGGAAGAGGATGCCAGAACAAAGTTACATCAGTAAAGAGGAAAAGGTGATGCCAGTCTTCAAAGCAGCAAAGGACAGACTTACTCTGTTGTTTGGTGGCAATGCTTCCGGTGATATGAAACTAAAGGCTCTCTTAGTTTACCATTCAGAGAACCCAAGAGTCTTTAAAAAACATAGCCAAGGGCTCTCTACCTGTTGTGTGGAAAAGTAACTCCAAAGCCTGGGTTACATAGGCCATTTTCCAGGACTGGTTTTTCCACCATTTTATTCCAGAGATAGAGAAATATTGTTTGGAGAAAGATATCCCATTCAACATTCTTTTGCTGCTTGATAATGCACCAGGTCACCCCCAATTCATGGATGACTTTCATCCCAACATCAAAGTAGTGCATCTGCCATTGAATACTATGGTGCTCATCCAAGCTATGGACCAAGGAGTTATTGTGACTTTCAAGAAATATTATTTATGTTACACTTTTTGTCAGGCAGTGAAGGCTATTGATGAAACAGGAACAACCTTGCAACAATTTTGGAAGGACTATAACATCTACAAGGCCATAGAAAACATCAACTTTGCTTGGCGTGAGGTTTCGGCTGTCACCATGAATGGGGTTTGAAAGAACCTTTGCCTACAGTTTGTTCATGAAGTTCATGGACTTAAGATGGGTAAGGAGTCCAAAGAGGTCTTCAACAACTTAGTGACCCTTAGCACAAAGCTGGAGCTAGATCTGCAAGAGGACGACTTCATTGAACTCCTTCCTGTGCAGCATGAGGAGCTTACTAATGAGGACCTGATGTAACTAGAGAGCCAAGAGGAAGATGTAACTGAAGAACCAAAGAGATTCACAACACAGGAAATAGAAAGGGGAATTTCTTTACTTGAAGAGGCACTGTTAGTTTTTGAGGCACAGGCCCCCAACGTAGAATGATACACAAAGGTTGCAGCAGCTGTTCAGAATACCATCCGGAGCTACAGAGTCATCTATGATGAGAAAAAAAGAGCCGCTACTCAGACATCACTGGATAATTTTTTCCAGAGGGTAGACAGAATTGAATCCATCAAAACACCTGTGCCATCAACATCAGGTGTGAGTGAAATTCCACCTTGCCCTCCATCTCCTATTGCTGATGATCCTTCAGCTTCGTCAACATCAGGTGTGGGCCAAATTCCATCTTGCCCTCCATCTCCTATTGTTGATGATCCTTAACTTCCCTAACGGTATTCCCGAGTGTAGCTCGGGGTAAAATGTCTGTACCAAAAGCGGTAACCCCGAGCTACACTCGGGCTTACCATGCGGCGCTGCATAGGGAGTCCCTGCAGTATTTACCTTGTCCTTGGCTCCCACGATGTATCCCCTGCAGTGTCCCCGGCCATCTCCTCCGGCGGATGCCGGCATCCGCCTCCTGTGTTCCGGTCCCTGTGACGTCGGGACGTACGGGCGCCGCCGGCGGGAAATATGAAAATTTTAAAAAAATGTCATTTTTTTCAAAACGATTTTACATAGTAAAACATTACTGTTTCAACCCATTTCACATACATTTTGTCCCTAGTGCTTTGTCCTGTCTCCTGTCTGCATTTTGATTGTTCTTTCTGCCTGGAAACTTAGAAAAGTCCATGGCATCCAAAAAGTGTCCCTTTAGGTCAAAAGCGGGTTTAGATCAGCTAGAGAACAGCGATAGTAAATCAGAACCACTTGCAGAATTGAATGATAATGATTCGTGGAGAAATTCGTCATCAGACACTGAAAACGATTTTGCGACTTTGCTCAGTGATGTGCGAACTTGGCGCTATATTTCAAATTTCAGTGTTTTTGGTTTGATTATATTATTGAATTAAATGTATGATTTAGAATCTTGTTCAGACAGATTTCAGTGAGTTATTCCTAAAAATTACAGCCTACAATAAAAAAACTACATATTTCCATGCAAAATAATGGTACCGCTTTCAGCACCAAAAATATAAAATAATCATACCGCTAGGGAGGTTAAGCTTCGTCAGCATCAGGTGTGGGCCAAATTCCATCTTGCCCTCCATCTCCTATTGCTAATGATCCTTCAGCTCCACCATCTCCCACCTACCCTCTCTCCTCCAGTTAGTAACTCTCTTCTACTATATGCCAGTTTTGGTACTGTACTGTACCACCATTTTAAGGTAACTGTTAACTCCTTCCTGAGTCGGTTTTTGTGAAGCCTTTTCTAAAAAGAACCACCCTATTAGTGATCACATAATCACTGTATGGGTTCAAATTAGACTTAGAGCCCGCAAAAGTTTTTTTATTTTTATTTTTTGGTTGGTAGGTGGGGCATTTCCTTGCCCAGGAATAATCTATCAGAGCCTTATTGATTGCTCTCCTCTCTCATTTATAATATAATTAACTGTAAATGTTTCTTCTTAGCTCCAGAACTTCCTATCTTAGAAAGACGAAACTGGCTTATCCACCTACACTATGTCCGGAAGGATTATGAGGCCTGCAAGGTGAGGGATAAAAGGTGTAGGTCATTACTGGCGTGAAGTGTATAAGATTAATTCTACATAATTATACAATGTACCTGTATGTATTTACTGCAAATGTGATTTATTTTCAGTTAGTTAATTGGTGACTGTTGTCTGATTATGGTTGTGGTTTATACACACACACACACACACTATCTCACAGAAGTGAGTACACCCCTCACATTTTTGTAAATATTTTATTCTATCTTTTCATGTGACAACACTGAAGAAATGGCACTTTGCTACAATGTAAAGTAGTGAGTGTACAGCTTGTATAACAGTGTAAATTTGCTGCCCCCTCAAAATAACTCACACAGCCATTAATGTCTAAACTGCCGACAACAAAAGTGAGTACGCTACTAAGTGAAAATGTCCAAATTAGGCTCAATTAGCCATTTTCCCTCCCGGGTGTCATGTGACTCGTTAGTGTTACAAGGTTTCAGGTGTGAATGGGGAGTGGGGAGCAGGTATGTTAAATTTTGTGTTATCGCTCTCAATTTCTCATACTGGTCACTGGAAGTTCAGCATGGCACCTCATGGCAAAGAACTCTCTGAGGATCTGAAAAAAAGAATTGTTTCTCTACATAAAGATGGTCTAGGCTATAAGAAGATTGCCAAGACCCTGAAACTGAGCTGCAGCACGGTGGCCAAGATCATACAGTGGTTTAACAGGACAGGTTCCACTCAGAACAGGCCTCGCCATGGTCGACAAAAGGAGTTGAGTACACGTGCTCAGCGTCATATCTAGAGGTTGTCTTTGGGAAATAGACGCATGAGTGCTGCAGAGGTTGAAGGGGTGGGGGGTCAGCCTGTCAGTGCTCAGACCATACGCCGCACACTGCATAACATTGGTCTGCATGGCTGTCATCCCAGAAAGAAGCCTTTTCTAAAGATGATGCACAAGAAAACCCGCAAACAGTTTGCTGAAGACAAGCAGACTAAGGGCATGGATTGCTGGAACCACCAAGACAACCACTACCTTGCTAAAGAAGCCGAGGGTGATGGACTGGCCAAGCATGTCTCCAGACCTAAACCCTATTGAGCATCTGTGGGGCATCCTCAAACAGGAGGTGGAGGATTGAAGGTCTCTAACATCCACCAGCTCCGTGATGTCATCATGGAGGAGTGGAAGAGGACTCCAGTGGCAACCTGTGAAGCTCTGGTGAACTCCATATCCAAGAGGGTTAAGGCAGTGCTGGAAAATGGTGGCCACACAAAATATTGACACTTTGGGCCCAATTTGGACATTTTCACTTAGAGGTGTACTCACGTTTGTTGCCAGCGATTTAGACATTAATGGCTGTGTTTTGAGTTAGTTTGAGGGAACAGCAAATTTACACTGTTATACAAGCTGTACACTCACTACTTTACATTGTAGCAAAGTGTCATTTCTTCAGTGTTGTCACATGAAAAGATAGAATAAAATATTTACAAAAATGTGAGGGGTGTACTCACTTCTGTGAGATACTGTATATAACCATTTCATCAACATCACATTGTTATAAAGCACTATAGCTGTGTATTATTTATATTGTATTTCTCTAGGTTGTGATCAAAGAGCAGCTACAGGCAACAGAGGGCGTGTGTGAATATGCTGTATATGTACAAGGTGAGAATTACTTATAAACCATACTCCATATTTTTTTATATGGAAATTTAAAAGGAAAGTTCAGGATTAAAAGAAAACAAAGATTTATACCTAGATCAGTGATGGCGAACCCGTGGCACGCGTGCCACAGCCGGCACGCCGAGCCTTATCTGTGGGCACGCCAGGAGAATACCGTATTTTTCGCTCCATAAGACGCACTTTTTTTCCCCCAAAAAAGGGGGGAAAATGTCAGTGCGTCTTATGGAGCGAATATAGAGCGGCCGGTCCGGTATTTCCACCGCCGCCGTGTCAGAATACCGGGCCGGCCGCTCAGCTCTGCAGTGGGACCGTACCTGTCCCTCTATCCACGGGCGCGCTGTCTTCCCGGCTTCTGTAGTGTGTGTGACAGCCGGGTCCCAAGTGCGCATGCGCAAGAAGCTGTGCTCTTTGTGAATGGTAAGGCGGTACCTGGGACACATGACAGATCCCACAAGCCGCCGGACCAATCACAAAGCGCAGTGCTTCTCTCGCGCATGCGCACTGGGCATCCGGCTGTCCGACGAGCGCCCACACTACAGAAGCCGGGAAGACAGCGCGCGGCTGGATAAAGGAACAGGTAAGATAAAAAAAAAACTCTGCGGAAGTAAGAGCGGGTACCTGTCAAATTCAGGTACCCGCTCCCCCTCCCTCCCCAAAGGTCAGCAGTCATCTGTACTGTCCGCAGTCTCTGGTCATCCCTGTGATTTCCGCAGTCTCTGGTCATCTCCTGTACTGTCCGCAGTCTCTGGTCATCCCTGTGCTTTCCGCAGTCTCTGGTCATCCCTGTACTGTCCGCAGTCTCTGGTCATCCCTGTACTGTCCGCAGTCTCTGGTCATCCCTGTACTGTCCGCAGTCTCTGGTCATCTCCTGTACTGTGTCTGCAGTCTCTGGTCATCTCCTGCACTGTGTCTGCAGTCTCTGGTCATCTCCTGTACTGTGTCTGCAGTCTCTGGTCATCTCCTGTACTGTGTCTGCAGTCTCTGGTCATCTCCTGTACTGTGTCTGCAGTCTCTGGTCATCTCCTGTACTGTGTCCGCAGTCTCTGGTCATCTCCTGTACTGTGTCCGCAGTCTCTGGTCATCCCTGTACTGTGTCCGCAGTCTCTGGTCATCCCTGTACTGTGTCCGCAGTCTCTGGTCATCCCTGTACTGTGTCCGCAGTCTCTGGTCATCCCTGTACTGTGTCTGCAGTCTCTGGTCATCCCCGTACTGTGTCTGCAGTCTCTGGTCATCCCCTGTACTGTGTCTGCAGTCTCTGGTCATCCCTGTACTGTGTCTGCAGTCTCTGGTCATCCCTGTACTGTGTCTGCAGTCTCTGGTCATCCCTGTACCGTGTCCGCAGTCTCTGGTCATCTCCTGTACTGTGTCCGCAGTCTCTGGTCATCTCCTGTACTGTGTCCGCAGTCTCTGGTCATCCCTGTACTGTGTCCGCAGTCTCTGGTCATCCCTGTACTGTGTCCGCAGTCTCTGGTCATCCCTGTACTGTGTCTGCAGTCTCTGGTCATCCCTGTACTGTGTCTGCAGTCTCTGGTCATCCCTGTACTGTGTCTGCAGTCTCTGGTCATCCCTGTACTGTTCGCAGTCTCTGGTCATCCCTGTACTGGTAATTAGTTTGCACTACTGTACGAGTTGTTTTTTCTAAACCAAAAGCTCGATATTTAGGTTTCATTGCAGTGTTGGCACTTTGAAAGAAATAAGTTTGTTTTGGGTTGCAGTTTGGGCACTCGGGCTCAAAAAGGTTCGCCATCACTGACCTAGATGGATGCAGCATCCATCCTATGCTGCATATGTCCCCCGCCGCCTCTGCAACTGAGCGATTAAAAACCAAAGACTTGGTCTTCAGTGAGAAGAGTCAATCACAAGCTCTCTACTGTGCCGAGAAACTGTGCCAGCTGCAGGTCTAGGCATCTGGGTTTATCCCGACCGGCTGAGGGATGTCAATTGACAGAGGGTGTTCGCCCGCAGTTGGCTGAATATTGGTCACAGGAGTGCAGAACAAAGTGCAAGCCTGTGTCTCCAGGAGAGGTATATCCAAAAGAGCTTTGACCCTACTTCTCCTTTAACTGTTTACAGCCTTATTTTCGCATTATTTTACTACACGTGGACTCAAATGAAAAGCTGGTTTAAAGATTCTCATTTTCAGAAAAGTCCAAAGAGATTTGGAATTTATATTCACCTGGCTGAAAATAAAATTCCTTATCCTTGTGTAAAGCTTCATGGTTTGTGCCTAAAGCAATACTTTTATCACCACCTTAGTTACTTTTCTTGCCTTACGTTACAACACAAATCATCCAGCATGCTGCAGAAAAATGCAGCCTGTCTGCAATTTTTCATGCCACACATCACACTAGAGTTATGGTATGAACATGATATTTAGAAATCAGTTGTTTTCCACAGTGGGTATATAAAAGTATTACCCTCTTTAAATTCACATTTTGTTGCTTTGCAGCCTCAAATGAAGACAGATACAGTTTTTGTTTTGTCCAGCTGTATTTATTCAGTGCAATTTATAACATCCTAGTGAAAGATATAACACCAAAATCTCAGAAAAAAAATGTAAAAATCAAAAACAGAATCACTGAGTTGGAAAAAGGATCACCACCTTTGTTTCAGTATTTTTTTGTTGAAACACCTTTTGCTTTAATTATAGCCTTTAGTCTGTTGAGATAGGTCTCCACTAACTTTGCACATTTAGACTTTACAATATTACACTCTTCTTTGCAGAAGTGCTCAAGTTCAGTTAAATTTGATGGTGACCGTTTGTGGCCTGCAGTCTTCAAGTAATTCCTCGGATTTTCTATGGGGTTTAAGTCAGGGGTCTGGCTATGCCATGGAAGGACATTCACCAATTTCTCCTTCAACCACTGTGTGGTCATTTTTGCTGTGTGCTCTGGGGCATTATCATGTTGGAAGGTAAACTTTCTACCTCCATGCTTGACTGTAGGAATGGTGTTATTTGGATGATGAGCTGTATGGGATTTCCACCAGACATATCATTTAATGTTGAGGCCAAATAAATCAATTTTAACCTCATCTGACCATAACACCTTTTCCATGTGACCTCAAAATCTTCAAGGTGCATTTCGGCAAAGCTCTGTCGTGACTGCATGTGGCGTTTCTTGAGGAGTGGCTTTTTTTCTTGCAACCCTTCCATACAAGCCACATTTGTGGAGAATTTGAGATATTGTTGTCACATGCACACAATGACCACTCTTTGTCATAAATTCCTAGTTTCCTCCTGACTCTTTCATCCAGTTTGGAACGACATCCTGATTCAGGGAGGGTCTGTTGTAGCAAATATCTTCCACTTCTTACTAATAGACTTCACTGTGATTCTAGGCATAGATGAAGTGTTTTAATTTTATTTGTATCCATCTCCTGACTTGTGCCTGTCCACAACTTTATCCCAGAGATCTTTTGACAGTGCCTTGTTGCCCATAGTTGATTTTTTGTTTCAGTTGCACTATCAGGGACTGAAATTCTCCAGGTAATCTCTTTTCATGCTGGGTTAATCAAAATGACCACAACTGATCACAGTTGACAGTCAAATGACTGTGTGTCACTGAGTAGGTGATTAGCTACACCTGATTGAGTGTAAAAGTCGTTTTTAGGAGAGGGGGTGACATGTAGGTGTTACATTTTTTTACGTGGATGTTATAAGCTGCAGTGAGTAAATACAGCTGGATAAATTAAAATCTGTGTCTGTCTTCATTTCAGGCTGCAAAGCAACAGAATGTGATTATTTTAAAGGGAAGCGGGGGTGGTGATTCTTTTCTATACCCACTGTATGTGCCCTAGTCAGGACATAAAATGCAAGTTACTGCAGTATGTGTGAACGAGCCCTAAAACCTACAGTTTTTTCCTGTCTAAAGTTAGCAGTATTTGAAGGGGTGACAACTCATGCAATAATCTTTGTACATGGACTTTTAAAGTTCAGATACCTGAAAGAAAAAAAAAATCGATAAAATATCAGGTGTGCAGAAAATGCAACCAGACTGTGCAGTAATGCCTTTAATAGATTGAAAAAATCAGTTTTCAGTCATACAAAATAGAGTGATGAAAATACTGCATGCCTTATGCTTTTGTGAACAATTTGTGTGTTTTTTCTCCTGATACAGTAGAAGGAAATTATTGAACAATATACATTGTATTCATAAAGTATTCAGAACCCCTTCACTTTTTTCAATTGTGTTATGTTGCAGCCTGATACTAGTCGTTTACATTCTTTTTTTTTTTTCATTAATCTACACTCAGTACCTCATAATGACAGTGAGAAAACAATTTTAGAAATGTTTGCAAATGTATGAAAAAGGAAAGACTGAAAATATCACATTGGCATAAATATTCAGATCCTTTGCAACAACACTTGAACTTAGCTCAGGTGCCTCCCATTTCTCTTGATCGTCATTGAAGTATTTCTACACCTTGATTGGAGTCCGCCTGTGGTGGTAAATTAAATTGATTGGACATGATTTTGAAAGGCACACACCTCTTTATAAAAGGCTTCAGAGCTGACAATGCATATTGTATCAGAGCAAAAGGCATGAGGTCAAAGGAACTGCCTGCAGAGCTCACAGACAGGACTTTTGGATGGCTACAGAAAATGTTCTGCTGCACTGAAGGTTCTCAAGAACAAAGTGGCCTCATAATTCTCAAATTGAAGATGTTTGGCACACCAAGGACTCTTCTAAGAGCTGGTCGCCCAGCCAAACTGAGCAATTGGGGAAGAAGGGCCTTAGTAAGACCAGTGACCAAGAACCCGATAGTCACTCTGACTGAGCTACAGAGATCCTCCGTGGAGATGGGAGATTCTGAGTTCCAGAAGGACAACCATCACTGAAGCCCTTCAACAATCTGGGCTTTATGGCAGAGTGGCTAGACAGAAGCCTCTTTTCAGTGCAAAGCACATGTAAACCTGCTTAGAGTTTGCTAAAAAAAAAAAAACACCTGAAGGACTCTTAGACTGTGAGGAACAAGATTCTCTGGTCAGATGAAACCAAAATTGAACTGTTTGGCATCAGTTCTAAATGATATGTCTGGAGGAAACCAGGCACCGCTCATCACCTGCCCAATACCATCCCAACAGTTAAGCATGGTGGTGGCAGCATCATGCTGTGGGGTTATTTTTTTTCAGCAGCAGAGACTGGGAGACTGATCAAAGGATAGAAAGCTGAATGGAGCAAAGTACAGAGATATCCTCGATGAAAACCTGATCTACAGTGCTCAGGACTTAAGACTGGGCCGAAGGTTCACCTTCCAACATGACAACGATCCGAGACAACACAGGAGTGGCTTAGGGACAACTCTGTGAATGTCCTAGAGTGGCCCAGCCAGTTCCCTGAATGGAACCCTACTGGACATCTCTGAAGAGACCTGAAAATGGCTGTCCACCGATGGTTCCTATCCAACCTGACTGAGCTTGAGAGGATTTGCAAAGAATGGCAGAAAATCCCTCAATCCAGGTATGCGAATCTTGTCTCATTATACTCAAAAATCTTTGAAGCTGTAGTTGCTGCCAAAGGTGCTTCAACAAAGTACTGAGTAAAGAGTCTGAATACTTAAGTATACTTTAAAGACATTATTTTCTTTTTAGTAAATTCACAGATATTTCTAAAATTCTTTTTTCACTTTGTCATGATGAGGTACTGAGTGTAGATTAATGAGAAAAAAAAAATGAATTTAAACATCTGTAGTATCAGGCTGCAACATAACAACATTGAAAAAATTGAAGGAGGTCAGAATATTTTATGAATGCACTGTATATTCTATATTTTTGGAGAATATTATCATATATGGATAGACATTTAACCGTTAGAAAATTATCAGAAATTAGGGTATTATGCCAATATTTCAGATCCATAGGCCCATGAAAGGAAACTGCTGTCTAAGGATAAACCTCATTTTGCCTAAAATGACTGATAACATGGCACACTAAGGTTTACAGTGAATTTATAGAAAATGTGATTGATAAAAAGTGTTTGTGGGTTTGGCTATATTAACAAATGTTGTTAGTAACTTTAAAAGAAAGTATTTGTATTTTGGGTTTTCTGCTCTTGAGTCTTCTTTTAGGATTGTTTTTGTAATATGTGTAATATTTTCTTTCTAGCACTGATCCTTAGATTGGAAGGGAAGATCCAGGAATCCCTCGAACTTTTCCAGACATGTGCAATCTTGAATCCGACTAGTCAGGATAACCTGAAACAAGTAGCTCGATCCCTGTAAGACTGCCTTAAATGATTTTTGCCATCATTCTTGTCTTTCCCTTCTTAAAATCACTTCATGTTCACCTGTATTGACAATTCAGCTCTGCAATGAAAATTAAGTATTGACTAGAATCTGTGGGAATTTTTATTCACATTTTTAAATAATCGACTTTGGCTGCCCCATAAACAGCACTTCCATGCCATACTCCTTGCTGCAGCCTTCTCTGTCATGTTACTCAGAATTATAATTATATAGTTACAATATAAATAATGAATCTGGCAATATTGATGTCTACAGTTACGGAAAGAGCACAAAGTATATAATTTCCCATTTAAATGTGAAGCAGCCCCAAAGTCAACTGGACGTCTAATAAGAGCAGGAAAATACATGCTTGAAATAGTGTTTCCACACCAGATCTAGCTGATACCTTGATTCCCACTGCACCTAGCTTTTCACAACAGCTAGGGGCAGGCTGCTGGGTAATCTTCACCACATATGTTAAAATTTGACTGTACAATCACCAATAAGCTGGCAATACATTATACAATCCAAATGTGAAATCTCCTTTAGATATACCCTCAAGTATGTAGTATTGGGCCTGCCTGATTTGATAATGAATTAATTGTTTAGTTTGTCCTCATATTACATCGTTTTGGTAAAGCTAAAGGTGATACAGGTGTACAGGGATTGTACAATCAGATCGTATAGTGTATGGCCATCTTTAGATCTAATAACAACAATATAGTGCAATGACCTGCCTGATTAAATAGTTAAGGTAAGTCCTCATATGACACAGTTTTGATAAATCTAAATTGTACTGTACAGTAAAATTGTAACATTTAAAACAAACTAAGGCAAATACACTGATTGGCTGTTTATAAAAATGCTAACAATTGGCGCCTCTGCCTTGCGCAAAACCAACCTTTAAACAAAGTGTAGAGTAGGGAATACGTTCACTGTTCTGACCCAGAGGTGGAAAACTACAGGGAACAGCTAGGTGTTTCAGCACTCCTATTAGTTTGTCAAGTTAGGGATCAGGATAGGGAAGGAGGGAGTGTACACATACCTAAAGCTGTCATATTTGACTAGCCTCAAATTGCAGGGACAAAAATTACTTCCATATTCATCTAACCTCAGCCCCTGAAGTTGTGTGTCTTCAGATACTTAGACATCAGTGTGCAGCCAGTGCTCATGAAGAATGAAATTACTGAAATAACACATGACATGACCAGCATGGCAGGAAGGCCGTAGGATCATTTTCATAGCAATGATTAGATGAGTCACAACATGCAATGGGTGAGACAGATACAGTGCTCAGCATAAATGAGTACACCCTTTTGAAAAGTAAGATTTTAATCAACATCTCAAGACAAGAAAATTTTCCAAAATTTTTACAAAACCGAGATTTCTAAAACATTTGTTAAGCTTTTCTTTAGCTCACTAAAGGAAAGTAAGGTTAATCATATAACTTAGATTACAAAATCTTCATTTTTACTCAGATTAGTTGATGCAAAAATGTATGACCTCCATGATTTGTAAGGACAGCACCAAGTCTTCTAGGCATGGAATTAACAAGTTGGTGACATATTGCAACATCTATCTTTGTCCATTCTTCAAGAAAAAACTCTTTTTAGAGCCTGGATGCTGGATGGAGAGTGATGCTCAGCTTTAGAATTCCACATAGGTGTTTGATTGGGTTCAGATCAGGAGACATACTTGGCCACTGATTCACTTTCACCTGTTCTGCTTCAGAAATGCAACAGTGGCCTTAGATGTATGTTTTGGATCATTGTCATGTTGGAAAAGTGCACGACTGTCAAGGGCACGGAGTGATGGTAGCATCTTCTCTTTAAATATAGAGCAGTACATCTGTGAATTCATGATACCATCAACAACAACTCAGCCATGAAGTGGTAGGCCACCTAAAATGACAGAGCGGCGTTGGTGTATGCTGAAGCGCACAGTGTGCAGAAGTCACCAACTGTCTGTAGAGTCAATAGTTAAAGACCTCCAAACGTTGTGTGGCCTTCAGATTAGCACAGTAACAGTGTGTAGAGAGCTTCATGGAATGGGTTTCCATGGCCGAGCAGCTGCATCCAATTCTTACATCACCAAGTGCAATGCAAAGTGTAGGATGCAGTGGTGTAAAGCACGCTGCCACTGGACTCTAGAGCAGTGGAGGTGTGTTCTCTGGAGTGACCAGTCATGCTGTATGGCAATCCGATAGACATGTCTGGGTTTGGCAGTTGCCAGGAAAGCGGTACTTGCCTGACTGCATTGTGCCAAGTGTAAAGTTTGGTGGAGGGGGGATTATGGTGTGGGGGGTTGTTTTTCAGGGGTTGGACTTGGCCCCTTAGTTCCAGTGACGGGAACCCTTAAGGTGTCCGAATAACAAGACATTTTGGAAAATTTAATGCTCCCAACTTTGTGGGAACAGTTTGGGGATGGCCCCTTCCTGTTCCAACATGACTGCGCACCAGTGCACAAAGCAAGGTCTATAAAGACACGGTTGAGCGAGTTTGGGGTGGAGGAACTTGACTGATCTGAACAGAGTCCTGACCTCAGCCTGATAGAACACCTTTGGGATGAATTAGAGTGGAGACTGCAAGCCAGGCCTTCTCGTCCAACATCAGTGCCTGTCTGCACAAATGCGCTTCTGGAAGAATGGTCAAACATTCCCATAGACACACTCCTAAACCTTGTGGACAGCCTTCCCAGAAGAGTTGAAGCTGTTCTAGCTGCAAAGGGTGGGCCAACTCAATATTGAACCCAACAGACTAAGACTGGGATGCCATTAACGTTCATGTGCATTAAAGGCAGGTGTCCCAATACATTTAGCAATATAGTATATATGTATATACAGTTGTGTTCAAAATAATAGCAGTGTGTTGAAAAAAGTGAATAAAGCTCAATATCCTTCTAATAGCTTTTATTTCCATACACACAAATGCATTGGGAACACTACACATTCTATTCCAAATCAAAACATGAAGAAAAATATATCAAATTTGTGTTGTTCCTCTAAAAAAAATTGAAGAAAAGTGAATACTAGACTGTTCAAAAAAATAGCAGTGTTTGTATTCTTCTTTACAAACTCAAACATTCACTATATAAACTGAAAAATGTTTGAAGATTTTGCTTTCCTTTGAATCACTTAATTAATATTTAGTTGTATAAGCTCTGTTTCTGAGAACTGCTGTACATCTGTGTTGCATGGAGTCAACCAACTTCTGGCACCTGTGAACAGGTATTCCAGCCCAGGATGATTGGACTACATTCCACAGTTCTTCTCTATTTCTTGGTTTTGCCTCAGAAACTGCATTTTTGATGTCACCCCACAAGTTTTCTATTAGATTAAGATCCGGGGATTGGGCTGGCCACTCCATAACGTCAATCTTGTTGGCCTGGAACCAAGATGTTGCACGTTTACTGGTGTGTTTTGGGTCGTTGTCTTGTTGGAACACCCATTTCAAGGGCATTTCCTCTTCAGCATAAGGCAGCATGACCTCTTCAAGTATTCTGATGTATTCAAACTGATCCATGATCCCTGGTATGCGATAAATAGGCCCAACACCGTAGTAAGAGAAACATCCCCATATCATGATGCTTGCACAACCATGCTTCACTGTCTTCACAGTGTACTGTGGCTTAAATTCAGTGTTTGGGGGTCGTCTGACAAACTGTCTCCGGCCACTAGACCCAAAAAGAACAATCTTACTTTCATCAGTCCACAAAATGTTGCGCCATTTCTCTTTAGGCCAGTCAATGTGCTCTTTGACAAATTGTAACCTCTTCAGCACATGTCTTTTTTTCAACAGTGGGACTTTGCGGGGGCTTCTTGCAGATAGCTTGGCTTCACATAGGCGTCTTCTAATTGTTACAGTACTCACAGGGAACTTTAGACCTTCTTTGATCTTCCTGGAGCTGATTGTTGGCTGAGTCCTTGCCATCTTGGCTATTCTTCTATCCATTCGAATGGTAGTTTTTCACTTTCTTCCACGTCTTTCAGGTTTTGGTTGCCATTTTAAAGCATTTGCGATCATTTTAGCTGAGCAGCCTATCATTTTCTGCACTTCTTTATATGTTTTCCCCTCTCCAATCAACTTTTTAATCAAGGTAAGCTGTTCTTCTGAACAATGTCTTGAACGACCCATTTTCCTCAGAATTTCAGAGAGAAATGCACTGTAACCAGCATGTACAACATTTGCTGCCTTCCTTCCTTAAATAAGGGCAATAATTGCCACCTGTTTTTCAAAGAATGAATGACCTCACTAATAGAACTCCACACTGCTATTATTTTGAACATGCCCCTTTCAATTAGTGATTCAATTACACAGAATCAGCAGCATGCATGTCATGACTGTTGGGTCTGTTGGATTTCTATTACTCTACTACACCTGCTCGTAAATTATTTGCCATGTAGAAATATCATTTGTACCAAAAACAGTCATTGATCAGGTTAGTGTTGTCTGACTGCTATTATTTTGAACACAACTGTGTGTGTGTGTGTGTGTGTGTGTGTGTGTGTGTGTGTGTGTGTGTGTGTGTGTATGTATGTATATATATATAATATATATATATATTATTTTTTTTTTTTTGGTTTTATTTTAATTTATATATAACAGAAATACAATATAAGGAAAGTTTTACAAATCTCCCTTCCTTTTAAGGTGCAGAGTATGAAAAACTGATTATAACATTACATTACCATTTTTTTCCCATACAAGGTTTCCTTTAAGAATTCATACCACTAAAATTGTTAAATGTTTTTTCTCTTATGCTCGTGCAATTTTTTAAATGCATATTAGTCACTCTTACATCCTTCTTCTCAACATGCCTCCTTGCCTATTTGTATACAAGTGTGCTTTTTTTTGTGAGAGCTTTCCGGTGTGGGGGAGCAAATGAACTCTCCATGTGACAGTTCTTTGGCCTGAGCTGCCAGTCATCAGATCCAAGCACTGTCAGGGGCTGTTCTGACACCAGCCGGAGCTGGGAGTTGGGGAGGCAGCAAAGGTGCAAGACTGTGTAAATATACATGTCTGAAGGGTGGGCTATATGCAGACACTGTTGATTTGCCCAGGATTGGCAAAGTGTCAGTGTCTTTATAATGATATGTAATTATGTGCAAGTTCATTGTGTAGCCACAGGTTCACTTTAAGGCTCTGCAGGAATAAAGGTGATATCTGTGGTGATCCTATATTTCTGTGGCAATTTTTGCATGTGTGAATCTTTGTGATCTGTATATCTTCTAATTAATTTAATTTAGGTTCTTACTTGGGAAGCACAGAGCAGCAGTTGAAGTTTACAATGAGGCGGCAAGGCTCAATAATAAGGACTGGGTATGCCCTTAAACCTTAAAATGTCTCTTTGAAGCCACCTAAACTCTGTTCCATTGCTGTTTTAATTATTTTACAGTAGCATGTTATTTTTTTATTAAGTGGTGCAACCTTAGTTTTGTGGAAGTGTCTAGATATGTAGTTAGGGACATTTATGTGTAAACTTTACACAATATCCATATTAACCAATCACGCACTTTTAGCTGGAAACTTTGACTAATCTGATAACAGTTTACTTATTGGTTGCTACAACTGAAGTGCATTACAAAAATGAAAATCAGAAGCACTGAAATGTTACATGTATCTGCAGTAATGGAAAAGTAGGTGATAAAACCAACCTAAATCAAGCTTGTGCACTAAGATATATATATTTATTAGTTGTATTAATTGTTGTATTTTTATTTTAATTTCCACAGCCTTCTCTGATTTTCTGTTTTTCACATTATTTCTATAGGAGATATGCCACAATTTGGGAGTATGTTACCTATATTTGAAAGACTTCGCCAAGGTACTTTATTCAGAGTGCCGTTTCATGTAATGAAAATTGATGTTAATAACAACCATTCAAGAGTCAGCTTATATGTCTTTCCTGTTGATTGAAAAATTAATATTTTTGCACTGTTCTGTTTTTAAATGTGAGCCAGTGCAGTTTGTTAGGTGGATTACTTCTGTGAAACTAGTACACACTTTTAATCATAATGATGTTTTTTTTTTTTCTCTGCAGAGTAAGGAGCAGCTGAATCTTGCCCTTCAAATGCACAGACAAGAGCTCAGCTCAATGGTCCTTGGAAAGATCCAGTTAATGGAGGGAGAAACAGATAGCGCTATTCAGACCTATTTGCAGGCACTTCAGTAAGTATGTACTTGAAATTTAATGTCAAATTGGATTCAGTCTATAATGCCTCACTCCAATAGATTGAAAGTGCAAAACATTTTGCTTGATGCACACATAACAATAAATGATCCATCATAAATTCAGTTGTTTCAGTAAGACCTTTCAGTCTAAAGTGATCGCTTGACACAGCAATACGATTGATCTTATATTTGATCCAAATTTTTTATATGGTCATTCCAGTTGTTCTTTTTTTTGGAGGCAAACAGTTTATCAATCAAGGTGTCTGTTTAGAGCAATGCATTTCTTCATGTTACAATTATATTATTTAAATGATTATTACATTAAACAATTTCATGGTTAGCATAGCACAGCATGGTAGGCCGCAAACATAACCTGTACCAGGAAATCATATGCTTGGGAGTGGTGCTTTTTTTGGTGAAAATGGCTTTTGCATAACTTATAATACCAGAGTCTCTTGTTTATTTTCATAGTTTATCTCCAGAAAGTACAGAGCTGTTAACCACATTAGGATTGCTGTATTTACAGGTGAGTCCAGCTATATCATCCACCCAATAATTTCCAGAATTGATTTTGTTTGTCATGATAACACTTTTCAATGAACTCTGCTACTAATCCTAATGTTTTTTTATTAATACGTTTTAAAGTGTATCTATAGCCAGCATGGTTTTTGTTACTTTGGATGGCGTAGGGAGTAGTTTATACCTCTGTCAGTTTTTTAATCTCCTGTTGAGGATATTTCTTTTCAATTTCTGTTCTGAAAATGCAACAGGAAATGAGAGGTAATCTCTCCAAAGTAAGTGCAAATTTCCTATTAGTTGTTACTGGAACAGTTATCCCTTTTGAAGGTTTTCCATCAATATTCCTGTTATGGTGACAACTGAAAAAGTTTGGAAAACAAATAAAGAGCATTAATCTCCCCATCAGGGACATGGAAAATTCTGACTATAGATGCACAATAAACTTGCTCCACATATAAAGCCCAGTCTTTCTGACACATTTCATGCTTAGTAGTCTCAACACATTTGGATTTATATACAATTTCTAAATCTGGTTGTTAGACACGGCAGCCAAAGCTTTTGTTCTTTCAGGATTAAAGAAAAAAAAATGCCATGTTCACAACGTGATGTTTCTGCGATCTGCAGCAGGTGTTAAAAAATAAAACCACATGTACTGTATATGGCTTTCATGCTATCGACTGTTTACATCTCCCTGAAACATACAAGGGAAAACGGTGAGATGATTACGGCAAGTTATGGACATTTCATACACAGCAGTTAGCTAGCTTAGTGCTGTGTAATTGGAGTCTCTGTGGTCGACTTTACAATGTCTCCAAGACTGGATATTAATGTATTTTCATGTACTAAAGCCCAGCTACTCATCTTGTTCCCCTTTTTTACTACAGAATGGTTTTTATCAGAAAGCATTTGAATACCTTGGGAATGCTTTGACATATGACCCCACCAACTATAAGGTAATGAAAAGTAATCAATTAAAAGAGAAGTATGGGCTAAAAAAAACCAAACATTTATACTAACTTAGGTGGATGCACCATCGAACCGATGCTGCATCTGTCCCCCGCTGGCTCTGCACTGATAATTGAGCGAAACTGCTAATCTCTCAGTTCTCCCATGTGCTGAGCAAAGAGCTGTGACTGTCATTCTTTGGCTCTCTGGAGTGCTGGGCTGTTGAGGGGGCAGGAGGGGCTGGCTCAGGCTGTCAGCAGATCGCTGAGAGGCTGAACCAGGTGTCAGTCTAGGCTTCTGGGTGGATCCCAACTATATGGTCAGGATCTTTTCAGAGCCTGTACTGGCACTGGGATGTCAGCTGACAGCAGACTTTATTCCGCTGTTGGCTGAAAATGGGTCACAGGAGTGCAGATCGAACTGCACTCCTGTGATCCATAGGAGAAGTACAGCCAAAAAAACTTTGGCTATACAGGCATACCTCGGTTTGCTAATTTAATTTGTTCTGTGGGACTTTTCATAGTGAAAAATTTGTAAACCGAAACGCCGTTTCCATTGGAATGCACTGAAAACCAATTAATCCGTTCCGGAGGTCAGAAAAAAGTAAACGCTACTAAAATACCACATGAATTATTTTATCAAGTCGTGCGGTATTTTAGTAGTGACAACCATGTGTTAATGTTTCAACTGTCAGCGGGGTTCCCCACTGACAGCTGAATGTTAAAGAGAGAATTGCCGGCAATTAAAAAAAGAATTTAAAAAACGGCCTGGGGTCCCCCCTCCCATCCATAACAAGCCCTTAGGGTCTGGTACGGATTTTGAGGGGAACTCCCATGCCAAAGTTTAAAAAAAAAATGGTGTGGGGTTCCCCCCCAAAATCCATACCAGACCCTTATCCGAGCATGCAGCCCGGCAGGTCAGGAAAGGGGGGGGGGACAAGCGATCGCTCCCCCCCATCCCCCCGAACCATGCCAGGCCACATGCCCTCGACATGGGGGGGTGCTTTGGGGCAGGGGGGTTCCCCCCCAAAGCACCTTGTCCCCATATTGATGGGGACAAGGGCCTCTTACCCACAACCTTGGCTGGGGGCCCCCAGATCCCACCCCCCCATGTTAATGAATATGGGTACATGGAAACAACTAAAAGAATGTCCCTCGCAGCAGATCCAATGTCAATCACGATGTCCTCCCCATGTGGCCTGGTATGGTTCAGGAGGGGGGAAGGGCCACTCGCTTGTCTTCCCCCCCTTTCATTTTTTTTTTCAATTTTGGCATAGGGGTTCCCCTAAAAACCCATACCAGACCCGAAGGGCTTGGTATGAATGGAGGGGGGACCCCACAACATTGTTTTATTTATTATGGTGCCATTTTTTAAATGTAATTACCCCTTTTGTTTTTCTTCACTATAGCTCAGAGAATCAGCTGTCACTTTCCCCCAGCTAAAAAAAAGAAAGTTTACTTTTAGTTTATATCCAGAGTCAAAAGAAACAATGTTTCCTTTTAGTTTCTTAAAAGAAACAGTTTCCTTTAACTACAGGGAAAGTGACAACTAATTCTGTGAGCTATAGTGAAGAAAAAAAAAAGCTGGCAATTGCATTTAAAGATCAGCACCAACATACACTTCGTATTGCGGAAAAAAATTTGTAAAAAAAATTCGTAAACCGAGGAATTATTTTCAATGGATTTTCATTTGTAAACCAAAAAGTATGTTAACCAAGGCTTTAGTAAACCGAGGTACACCTGTACTTCTCCTTTAAAGGCACAGTTCAGTTTTGCCAAAAAACTACCTATGCAGGTAAGGGGCGCCTCTAGACAAAAAACTGTGCAGCTTTGACCACAGTTGAATTAGCCTTTGCTTTTGGTGAAATGAAAGGGCATGCAAGAGGCGCTGGAACTTTGATATGAGTTTTATACAAAGTAGTGAGTGGGCAAAACCATTTGAAGGGCCCACTGGCTCAGGTAAGGCACCTCTAGTGGGTACTCCAGCAGGTTACCAGAAAAAAAAACCTGCAAAAATGAAAGGAGCGCCAGATCAAAAGATAAGAATCCAAATTAATTTATTGATGTGCTAAATGAAAGGCAACCCAACAATGCCCTAAAATGGTGGTCTCCTCTAGAGATAAACTGATACAGACTAAATTCCTACATCGCATATACTTTTACCCTTATGAGACTACATAAAACATACCCAGACAGGGACCCACATTGCCCTCGATGCCAAATGCGTTTAGGCTCTAATTTTGGGAGTGTCCTAGGGTTAATGGTTTTTTGTCTGAAGTTTTCGACCTTATTAACCTTAGGCGTCCGCTGTCAATCTCTAAATCCCCAGAGCTGGCTCTATTTGAGGATTCCTGATGACGCTTAACATCCCCATCATAGTAAATTATTGATTTCTTATCTTTTATTTTACTCTAAGAAAGAGCTTCTTTATAAATGGACGTCTACTGCTTCCCCAGATGTGTCATCCTGGGAAATCATGATTAACACTGCTCTGCTCCTGTACAAGCTGACCTATATCAATCATGGTTGTCCCTGGACGTATGACAAGGTTTGACAGCCATGGACGTCTGGGTAGACCCTCCCCTATCCAACTGGAAGGTCTGGTGATGTGTCTAAGCCCTTTAGTTCTCACTGATATCTCTCATACATCCCCATCCTCAGTGTCCCTGCCCTCCTATATTTGACCCTCCTTCTGCCCCCCCCCCCCCCCTTTTTTCCTTCCTTCCCCTGCTCCATTCCTTCACCCTCCACTCTTCCCTGAGAAGTTAGTGTTGATTTTCATATTTTGTTTGTTTGTGGTCAGACCCATAAATGATATAGTACATCTTGTCTGTATTTATGTGACGATGCTGCACTTTTTTAATATTGTACTTGGTACTTTAAATTACTATGTTATGATATGTCAACAGTTTTATTTTCAACTGTAATGTGTCATGCTTTTCTTCAATAAAAAGCACTTATGATTGTTAAAAAAAAAAAAGCCAACTCTTTTTCAGGGTCAAATGGAACTCTCCCTTCATCACGGTTACAACAGAATATAATGTAAATATAATTGTGACTGATAAAATCACGAGCCTAACAATTATAAATGATTATGGATAACATACATACTAGTGTATACACATTCTTGCTTCCATAAAATTGGATTTTTTCTATGTACTTACCTGTAAAATCCATTTCTTGGAGTATATCACGGGACACAGAACAAGCCATAATAATGACTATGTGGGTTATATGCCACCTATAGTTGAATGGACAATGGCCAAGCAATCAAACAGTAAGTCCTCCCCCATTTAACCCCCTCCTCCAACAAGTTTTAGTAGAAAGCAATGGAAATCCAGAAAGATGGGCGGGACCTCTGTGTTTCCCTGAAGTACTCCAAGAACTGGATTTTACAGGTAAGTATGTAGAATCTGCCAGCACTCAGTGCAATTGCATACAGATTAACAATGAACTTAAACAGAGCATATAGACATTACAATACAATCTCTCCAGGGATATGAGCCCTATTTAGTACACAGAATTAATTTTATGATTTAATATCCCAAAAGTGGGCACTGCATAAAGTATGTACTGAGAAAAAAAGAGTTACAGAAAAGACAAAAAGACATGCACAATTGGCTATTCACTGTGAAATAAAAAGGGAATAAAAACAGAAATAAAACTTTTACCAAGATTTATCCTGTAACTGGAGCAAGTCAAAAGAAAGTCTGGGATTCGCCAGTCAGATGGAACCAGCTCTGTACGAATCACACTGTCCATTTCTCAGGGTCCTCAATTTATTGAAATATGGATGTGGGCTGGACTTTAGGCCTTGGCCAATCAACGCTGCAGAATGTTCCCCTCCCAGCCCACAGGACGTTCTGTGTTCTAAAGTGCCCAGAACTGAATGGGCCAGAAAACACAGCAAACACAATAGACCTGTTTAAAAGTGAAGCCACACACTCCAATGCAGTGCACAGAAAAAACCGGGGTAACAACACATCCCTCCTGCCTGACTGTCCGACCCTCCCAGGGGAGTACTCACATGTCCTTTAGCATAACCTGCCCTGTGTCCTGGCCATCCCTCCAGGGTCCAGCAGCGGTAACAGCAGAGGTAGCGGTGGCTGCAGCAGCTCACATGTAACAGGCAGGGTGCTATGTAAACAATATGGCCGACTTCCTCTTCCTGCTGCTACTGCGCATTTATTCCCCTGCCTTCTGCGCTTGCAAGCTCGAGCGCCCGTGTGGTAACAGACTCCCTTAAGTGGCCACAAGTAGGTATTACAGGCAAGAAAAAAAGAAGTACTCCCCTGGAGGCCTTCCAAGTCAACCATAGCAGACTCCACCGCATATAAAGGAGATAGATAGACATATATATATATATATATATATATAAAACACCCATCCCGCCACAGGCCCCTGAACTCATAATCGGGGACCAACCTTTGCCCATTATGGTGGGCCTTGTCCTAAAGACCTTCAAGGACTTGGTCCTCCTTTTAAAATGGGTGCCACTGCCTTGGACCCGTATAGCACCCTACTGGAAGCTCCTTGGTCAAATCAAACTGCACAGGGTTCCGAAAACACAGGGTCCAGCGCCGTAAACCTGGATTACAGCCAAAACCCTGAGGATTCTTCTCCTTATCCAGCAAGGATCGGGTACCATCCATTTTGGCTAACAGCTTTTGAATGGATCAGATTGAGGTCCTTGACTCTCAGTAGAATCGTTCCAGACCTCCCAGTATGCTTCACAGAGCATATGCAACACATGTTCAGTAAACATCCACCTTACAGACACTGGTGAGTACTTCCTGTGTCGGAGGGGTTATATGGGGGTACTTCCTGTTTGATTGGTTGGCCAGTGTCCATTCACCTATAGGTGGCATATAACCCACATAGTCATTATTATGGCCTGCTCTGTGTCCCGTGATGTATGATAAAGCAATACCTGCATGTAGAATGATGTTAGGAATAGGATTGTTAGGTTCATGACTTTATCAATCACAATTATATTTACATTATGTTATGTTTTGTTGTATCCCTGATGAAAGGGGAGTTCCTTTGACTCCAGAAACGCATCTTTTAGCAACATATCAATAAATACATTTGGACTTGCTATAGGTGTTGGCCATATACATACCTCCTGAAGATTGACTGAAAAACTCCCAGAAATCGCATCATCCCATCCTGCCTTGTTGCTAGGACGTTGCTAAGGTGGCAGGATAAGATGATGCCATCTCTGGGAGTTTTTCAGTCAGGCTTCAGAAGGTATGTAAATGCCCTACACCTATAACAAGGGCATTATTCAACTTTGGTCAAATCTGCACAGTTTTTTTTTTAATCTACAGGCGCCCCTTCCTGCATAGACAGTTTGTAAAAAGAAAGATGAACTATGTCTTTAAGCTTCTGTAGTTATTGTATATTTGGCATCAATATTTGTACCTTTATTCTCTATCTATATAGTATACAGTAGTTGGTTTGTTGCTATTCTGTCGCATTCCATATGTCCCCTACACTTTGTGTGCATGTCAATATAACTTTGTTTTCTGAAATCCCAATGGCAAGTTTGAAATTCATATAATTAAAATGACATGCGGTCACAGGAAGTGCCCATGGTTTAGTCTGCAGTATTAACTATTAGAAAAAATATTTTTTTTAATGTGTGAGACAGAAAAACTTTACTTTTTTAATTTAAAGGGCATATTAGCAGCTGGCTGTATGATGCAGTCCCACGGTGATTATGATGTGGCTCTTAGCAAGTATCGTGTAGCTGCTGCCAGTGTCCCAGAGAGCTCCCCCTTGTGGAACAATATTGGCATGTGTTTTTATGGCAAGAAGAAGTATGTGGCGGTAAGACTGCTTTCCTATACTTATGCAAGGTTTTCATAGTTTTGTTAATATTACTTCCTATTATTGGATCACAAAACTAGTAAAAAAAAAAGATACGCTCCCTAAATAACTTTAGGCATACAAAATAATCTTAATTATGACTTGTTGAAATAAAAAAATGTGCCATTTTGAATGCTATTTGGATTACAATAAGGGCCGGTTCACACCAGAACGCGGTGCAGGAAAACCACGTTCCATGCGCATTTCCCATGCCACATTCAAAATGTGCTGTGTCTGCAATCTGCAGCAGGTGTCAATAATAAGTTAATGACATCCCAAATGCATGTCGCAAACGCAATGGATCACATGGTACAGAACTAGTGTTTTTTCACTGAGTACATATTTTGAGTTATAAATGTAATATTTACAATAATTTATTGTGACTTGAACATATTATATGCTTCTTTTTGCATGTAATTTTGTTTTGTCTACTGCATGCATGGTGTAGATTAGTACGTAGTTATGAAAAAATGGCAGGGATGCCTGAAGTTGCTATTTTAAGTTTTGATAAAGCTATACATTTCTGTTCAGTGCGCTGTACCCCTATTGTATTATGTATGGATTATTATGGTCATGTGCTTGGACAACTACTTTTACGTGCTGGTGAGGCCTGTAACGTAAATGTAAGAGTAGAATAATTTTATCAGTAGTAGATATAGTTTAATCCCGTGTTATTAGAAATACAGTATTCCTTAATCATTCAGGGATATATGTTTTTTTTAATTGGCATTTGAAAGGACAGAGCAAGCTTCTAGCCTAGTGGGGACACCTAGATGCCAATAAAACTTTCCCATCAATGTAGCCAGAGATAGCCACCTTCTTGAACCTAAAAGAAGAATCCAAGCCATTTCGGCTACACAAATCAGCAGGAGACAGGCAGAAGGCTCCAAAATGCCTGTCAGTTTTGACTTATACAAACAGATCAGAGAAATCTATTTAATCTTTCATAAAACCTAAAATATTAGTTTCAGAGAGATGAAAATAATTTCTTCTGATTGGACACATTTTAGGCTAAATGTACATGTAAAGCTGTATTTGTAACCTATGTAGAATGCAGAGAAACGCAGAAAATGGTTATATGGTGCCTGATTGCGACAGCTGAACAGGGATTGGTACTGTCGCAATTGGACTGACGCGCTGGTGTTGGAAATCCTATCCCTGACCAGTGATTCGAACCATTCCTGGCCCATTCAGTTATGGGCACTTCAGAACACAGAAAGTCCTGTGGGCTGGGAGGGGAACATTCCCCAGGGTGATTGACCAAGGCCTAAAGTCCAGCCCACATCCATATTTCAATAAATTGAGGACCCTGAGAAATGGACGGTGTCATTCGTACAGAGCCGGTTCCATCTGACTGGTGAATCGCAGACTTTCTTTTGGCTTGCTCCAGTCACAGGATAAATCTTGGTAAAAGTTTTATTTCTGTTTTTATTCCCTTTTTACTTCACAGTGAATAGCCAATTGTGCATGTCTTTTTGTCTTTTCTGTAACTCTTTTTTTTTTCTTTATACATATTTTATGCAGTGCCCACTTTTGGGATATTAAATCATAAAATTAATTCTGTGTACTAAATAGGGGCTCATATTCCTGGAGAGATTGTATTGTAATGTCTATATGCTCTGTCTAAGTTCATTGTCAATCTCTATGCAATTGCACTGCGTGTTGGCAGATTGTAAAGGTTTGTGTGTGTGGACAAACTGTTGGGTGGTGCAAGCTACCGTTGTGGACAGTGGAAGAGTGATTAACACCGGGGTTCTAGCTTGTAGGATAGCTGGAGGAATCCTAGAAGGATGCACTAATTGCTAGTGTGCACCAGATTGTATATAAGAATCATACCTGCCTGTGTGTGGTCAGACAGCTAGATTGGAGTGGAGTCTCCCTCTAGTGGTGGCCAGAGGTAGTGCGGGCTGTGAAAGGGTATCATGGCCAGTCTTGTATGCTCAATATAAGCCCTTTCTTTACCCTAAATCACAGACCACTCCCCAGTTAGTTAGTCGCCGTGGGCTTGCATTATTGTGACATGGTCCACTCTCCTAAATTTTAAAGATATAGATCAATAGATTCCTCCATCCTCACAAACAAGGTCAATGGGCAATTCAATGGAGTAATCTTACCCTTTGAAATCCACTGCTGCCAGCGGCAGATGCAGCTGCTGATCGGCAAATGTTTTCCAACACATGGATCAAAGTTTGGCTGGTCCGCGCTGAGCCAGTCAAATTTCGCTCTATCTATTATAAGCTTAACTAAAGGCTGGAAAAAAAATTGCACAGGCAGGTTCTTTATTGCAGAAGAGACATGTAATTACCTTCCTGTTTGCAGCTCTCTGCAAATTATACCCAAAGCTGTGCATGTGCTGCTCTGTTTACATTGTGAACAATGCCAGCATGCTGGGATGAATGACTCCTACATATGCGCAGAAATGACATTCTGTATCGGCCAATCAAGATCACCGTAGACTAGCTCCCAGACAAAGCCGCTGAGGAGATGCCAACGAGGGTCTTCACAAGCATTGGACTATTGGAGAATAGGTGAGTATCCTTGACTTTAGTTCTGCTTTAATAAGTCCAATTATCCAGAATCTGTGTTCTTACAATTTTCCACTGTTGTGCAATGCAAAACCCTTGTGTTCTCTTATTTCAAAGATCTCTTTGCCACTGTGTAGTCTAAATACATTAATTACATAAATCCCACACCCTATGCAAACAGAAAAACTCAACGGCACACACCTGTTCCTAGAAAGGTCATTTTCATATGCTCAAATCCTCTTCTCAATGTTGTGCAAGCAAATAAGTAATAAGTAATGGGCAGCACAGTGGCTAAATGGTTAGCACTTCCGCCTGGCAGTACTAGGGTCATTGGTTCGAATCCCAGCCACGGCACCACCTGCCTGAAGTTTGCATGTTCTCCCTGTGCCTGCGTGGGTTTCCTCCAGGTACTCCGGTTTCCTCCCACACTCCAAAGACATGCTGGTAGGTTAATTGGATCCTGTCTAAATTGGCCCTAGTATGTGTATGAATGTAAGTTAGGGACTTTAGATTGTACATCCTTTGAGGGTTAGGGACTGATGTGAATGTACAATATATATGTAAAGCGCTGCGTAAATTGACGGCGCTATATAAGTACCTATAAATAAATAAGTAATTTAGACACTGTAAAATCTTCGTAAAACATTTGTTAACCATCATTTTATTACATAGCGATATACAAAATCTAGAATTGGTCAAGTAAGAGTTTCAGCAACGGTCTTCCTTTATAAGGAGATTGTCTAGCTGATAGTGCAGAGGAAATGTGCAAGTATTTCCGAGATTATCACCAACTGTAGTTTAAGTTGAGTAAGCACGTTGGAACACAGGATTTCTAGAACCAGAAAAAAGGGGCTTGGGTAACTGATAAAACCTAAGGTGCTTGGAAAGTATTGTTGTTCATGGTAGCCAATAAATATGTTGCTTCTATTTTCTTGCCTTCTGTTAGCTGCATTGTAACACTGACAGGGAAATTCTTCACCTTTATTTATTTTTTTGTTTTTTCAGATAAGTAGGCCTCCAAAAGATTTTTTTTTTTCTTTTCTGGGTCAAAGAAAAAAAGTTGCTGGGGCCACCAGTTTCAGTAAGATATCATGCTAAATTTTGATTGGTTGACTAAGAACATCAAACCCTGTGTTTCCTTTACTCAATAGCCATCCGCAGAGAAGCAAAACCTTGCTTGCAGCTCAGTGTATGAAGAATTAATTCAATGTGATGCAGTGAGGGAGTTTAGTTGATGCAGCTTTCCGCTACTGATTTTTCACTCATCTGTGATTTTGATGTTGCTATTTTAGGCAATCAGCTGTCTGAAGCGCGCACTTTACTTTTCCCCATTTGATTGGCGAGTACTCTATAACCTGGGGCTGGTTCATCTGAGTATGCAGCAATATGCCTCAGCCTTTCACTTCCTTAGTGCAGCTATATCCTTACATCATGGGAATGCCACACTTTACATGTTGTTGGCAGGTGAGCAACAACTCTTGTTCAATCAGTATGTCGCCCTTTGTACCACTGTGGTACCGAGGTCAGTATCTGCTTTTATGCTTACTCTTTATATCTTCTCTGTTTTAAGTGGCACTCACATACCTTGATGATACAGAGAATGCCAAGAACTCATATCAGCAGGCTGCCAGTCTGGATCAGTGAGTGAACATTATGTCACATGTCTTGTGAAAGGATCTTAGATCTAAGATTTAATTTTTTTACTGATAAGTAGAATTTATAATGGTGTTTGTTTTCATCCTGCATGGGGGTAAACTATGCCATTTACAACTGTATTTGTAAATTTTCCATTTCAGAGCATTTATAATTGTTCTTTCACTCCAAACCACCACCTTCAAAGCAAGTTAGCACCTATGCCATTTTCAGGTCTCATTCGCAACGGCACCGTCAAACTTGAATTTATATGCATTTAGAGGACATTTGGAAACACATATAAATGCACATAATGATTTTTCAATGGTGCCATTCGCACTATATATTTACCTGCATTTAGTTTAGATACGTTTAGAGAAAATAGAATTCTGTGCATCCAGGATCCAGTTAAACATTCCTAAATGCAGCTAAAAAGGCTAAACCTGCTTTAAAGCAAAACTGTCCGAACACAGGAAAAAGTGATCTGGGAGGCATAAAAGTTGTTTATGCTTTTCAGATAACTTATTATAATTTATACATTAATAAAGGACTATAGTCTCTTTTCTTAAGGCTTCATGCTCACTTGACATTTAGCATGAGATCCCTGGGCTTTGGTGCAGATGGAAGGCACAGGGGCACCATCCAGCTCTGCTCCCTGCAACCTGTAATACTCTGAGAAGCTTCTGATACTTCTACAGACCACTCCACGTGGTGTTTACATAGAGAGTATAGTGAAATCAAACATGTTGTGATCGCAAAACAACATTTTTTGGTAACTTTTTTGTCTTGTGGTCATGTTTCCAAACGTAAAGGGCCATTGTTAAACAACCACATGCAAAAGTGCACAGTGTGGGGCCACTGATTTCCTCTGGTTCAGGATCTGAACTGCATCTTGTGCCTTCTTTGCCACCCCCTCTGCCATCTCTCACCTTCTTTTAACTTTATTCTCCTCTTCATAACATTTTCAGCCTGCCCCAAACTGGGACCTCCAGCTTTCATGCTGTCACTAGCTGCTAAGTACACTGAAGACTATGAGCAAGGTGACAGGGAGCACTTGATTTTTTTTTTTCTTTCATAGGATTATAATTTTTTTTTATGCAAACCATGGCATTATTTGCAACCATGCTGTTATTATCATTTTGACAGATATGTCTAGTTTAAATGCCATGATTTATTTAAACTGCTGTGCAACCTTTCCCCAATTTTGCATATTAAAAACTGCAAATTTTAGTGGTAGTTCATTAAAAGGACAATAGTTTTGAAGCTTCTTCTTTAAATGGATCCTTATTTGAGGAAATTAATATTGAACTTGCAACTTCCAGTTAAAGGAAAACTTCCATGAAAAAAATATTCTAACAGTATGATGTACAGAGAATGTAAAATTGTTAACACAGTCAATTTTTAGCAGAAATCCTGCTCTCTTGGTTGGGAGATATTTGACATCACCAGTCTCTGTCAACCCCAGTAAATGTAGTATAGGTCAGTGTGAGGATAAAGCTTCATACAGGCGAATACACATAAAACATAAAACTCTCCTGTGCAAATCTAGACATTTATAACAGTAGGTACAGTCTAAAAGTGTAAAGAAAGCGTGGAGAATGGCACTAGCAGCTGTGATGGGTAATTCTGATGAATTGAAAGTGGATATTATTTACTGAAAGAGTATTCAATATAAGACTCCCTTTACACATCCAATACCAAAAATAGGACATGTACCTTTTGTAAATGCACTTCATGTGTATTGGGGGTGCATTTGCATGGCGCATTAGGGTGGCATTCAGAATGAGGGTGGGGGGTAATTTTAATGGATGTGGTCGCCACTTTCCCTGCAGTCAACATGAATGGCACTGTAACACGCTGATCATGTGTTGTAGTAACATGCAGTAAAATGTATGTTTTACCATGTGTTACTGCCACACACAGATGGCAAGCTAGTCTAAAACTAAATATAAAGCTAATCTCCATATTTTTAGTGATGTTTAAAAGTTCTTTTGGATCCAGCTTGTCTAAACAAAGTATTTACTTGACTAACACATGCAGTAGCTTTCAGTGCTACAGTATATCTGACCTCTGTGCATCCTCAGCCACTTATAGTATACAGTGCTGTGTTCTGGCAGCGAGATGGGGACTTCCCGTCCTGCTCCCAGATCAAAATTGAGACAGGCTGGATGCTCCTTACAAGGAGATTAGTATTCTATGAATGACGGCTGAGGTTAAATACAGTTCATACTTCTGACAGCTACTGCATTTGTTGGTAAGTAAATCGTTTGTTTGGACCAGCTTGGTCCAAATGAACTATTTAATCTTCACTAAAACATGGAGATCAACTTTAACCAAAATAAAGCAACATTAATGGCATTTACAGACTTGTCTGCGCAAAAAAGAAATCTCTCAATGTAAAACTTGCCTTTGCATGAAACTAAACTCCTGCCTACAAATAGTTTTATTTTTGCATTATCTAGACATCCGCCAGTTGCTTGATTTCTGCCATTTCTTTATATCGTGTTAATACAGCAGCACACTTCCTCTGTTTGTGAAATGGTTTTCCTTCTCTCAGGACAGACCCTCTCGTAAATCTGAACTTTTCAGTTTTGCTGTACAATCAAGGGGATAAGAAGGGGGCACTGAGCCAATACCAGGAACTAGAGCGCAAAGTCAACTGTTTGAGAGACACTGGGACAGAGTTTGATCCAGAGGTAAAAATAAAAACCTACAACATTACAATTGTGGCATAATTAGACACTAGAACCTGTTATATGACAGTAGTGGGATCTAAATATATGATGTCAGAATTAAGATGTTGGGGTTGATTTACTAAAGGCAAAAAGCTTGTAGCCTGCAGTTGCTCTAGATCTGAGGGGAAGCTCTGCTGATTTCTATCATTCAATCATGTGCAAGCAAAAATGCTTTTTTTTTATTTTCCTTACATATTTTTGGGTATTCTTCGCAAAATGAAGCTTTACCTCATTTACTAAGCACTGTAGCAACTGCCTGTAGTAAATCAACCCCATTGCTGGCTTTTTGGTCTTAAAAAGCAGATAGAATATTCAGTTTTTGTTAGGTATTTTTAATAAAACTTTTTATCTTCAGTAAAACTCATTCCCTGTTCAGTTCTGTAGCTAATCTTGTACCCACGATTGATATAAATTAATTGTTTATGTAAATGTACAGTTGAGAAAAGGTTTGTAAGAACTTTGGATGTTTCTGAATTTCTGAATGAAAGGCTCCTACATGAAGTCTAATCTTTATGAAAATCTTATTAATAAATGTTTTTGTTTCATTTTGGATTCAGTGGTAAAGGGTTAGAACCTTTGTCAGGTTTTTATTACTGTCTCTGCACCTACTGGGGATATTTCCTCTAATTTCCTGGAAAATACATTTAGTAGACTAGGGAAAAATTTGAGATTCTGACAATAATTTTTATTATCCTGCTGAGTCATGAATTAACATCACTATTTCTGATTTCTATTTCTGCAGCTTCATAGGTTCGTGTACACTCGCTGCCACAATTTAAAAAAAAATGCAGCCGTGCAGAGCTCCACCCACTCGGCCGCATCATTCATTCACAGAGTTCTGTGAATGGGAAAACTACAAGTACAGACAGCCTTTGCCACTGTCAGCTTGTGGTTCTCAATGAACTAACAGGGCACTGTTGAGCACACTAGTTAGTTCCTTGATGCTTCTTGTTAGTGTGTAACTGTATGCTCATCTGTTAGACCCTTGCATTGCACCTGCGATCTGCTGATCCAGGGTGCAATGGTTTGCAGGTTCCTAGCAAAAAAAAAAAAATAAATGCACATTTTTTTACCTGGAAAAAGAGTTTAAATTCCCCGCCCTTCCCTCCACTCCTCAGTTTTTGATTGTGTTTCCCTGCAGCAAAACATTTGGGGTTTTTTTGCAGACCTAAGGCCTGGGTCTGGAGGTCCCCCCAGGGGGGTACACAACTGAGCTGGAGAAGGCAGGCTGTAACTCACCCACTCCAAGGGTCCCAGCTGATATTGAAGCTTCCTGGGCACAGGGGAGGTGTGCCTGGCATTCCAGGTATGGGCGCCATTCCTCCTCTTCCTCTTCGGGGCAGTGGGGAAGCATGTCCAGGAGAGGACCGGGCCGCGAGGTGGCTTCTCGTGGATATGGGGACCACCGGCCAGGATGTTGAATAGCGCGGTGTGCCTCTGTAGGATGAGCAGGGCTGCAGGGGTGGAGTCCGCTGCTGGTTCTGCCAGATGTAGGTAGGAGAGCCCAGGGTGCAGGACCGGAAGTGGGTGTGAGGCTGCGGGCAAAGCCTCGCTCTCAATAGGACTTCCAGTGAGGGCGGGACTGCCACCTTAAAGATGTCGGCGCTTCCTTCCTTGTGAGGACACCCCGGGAATTACCCCTGGGAGAGTGGACCCAGCAGCCCGGCGAAGGTGATGCAGTCCCGAGGAGCCCTCCTAAGGATGAAAGGCGAGGCTGCAGCCAGTGAGAAGACCACTGGCAGTGAGTCTGACTCGGCTGATGGGGGAGAGGAGGGGGGTAAAGACCTTACCCACTCCCCTACAGGTTTACTCAGGGGGAAGGAATACATGTTAACCTGGGCCCCTGTTTATCTCTCCTTAGAGCCGTGTGTAGCTGCCCAGGAGAGAGCCCACAAGACACCTAGAGCCGCCCCTCCCCCCCCCCCCTGCTTCGAACGGTGTGGTTGTAATGATAAAATACCGCAAGACCATGCCAAACCCTTTTGCTACAAGTGTATCCACAAGTTGTCAGGGAAAGAAACCAGCAGTTATTAAGGATTTTTTTATCGGTGCAAACGGATATGTTATCCACCTTACAATCCTTCAAGACAGCCCTGATATCCAGTGAGGTGGATGCCAGGTCCTCTAGGGAATGGTCTTCTTCCCAGGAAGGAACTTGGACGGGGAAGCAGGAGGAAGAGCTAGAGGAGGCAGATGTTTTTTGTCCAAACCTCCCTGGAATTGGGGGAAGATTTGGAAGGTGCTAGTCAGGCTAGCAAGGAATCTAAACCAGGTAGACACCTTTTTGCTGTGGAAGATATGGATGGGCTCCTAAGGGCTATCTGTGCCTCGGAGACATCCCAGAACCACCAACGCAGGTCTCAGCCCAGGGCAAGATGTATAGAGGGTTGGTGAGGCCGCAAGCTAGGGTGCTATCCGTGCAGCAAACTTTCAAACATATTGTCTTAAGAGAGTGGAAGGATCCTGAGAGAAAGGTCCTAAAATTGAAGACCTGTAAGAGGCAATACGTTTATGGGGAAGAGAGAAATTCCTGAAAAATCCCAAATTAGACGCCGTGTTATTGCAAAGTATCTAAAAAGACTGGCCTGTCCTTTGAGGACTCAGGTAACATCAGAGATCAGATAGACCGTAGGTCCGAGACGCTGTTGCGTAGACCCTGGGATGCCAGTGCTGCTACTATGGCCCCAGCCCTGGCGTTCGCCTGCATCTCTAGAAATACTGACACATAGATGCGTGATTGACCACGTCTCTCGGGGTACCAAGAAAAAAGGGGAAGCTTAGTTAGAAGAGGTGTTGGATTCCCTGGAGGTAGTTGGTAAGGCAGTAGCCTACCTAGCAGATGCTGTGGTGGAGATGGTCAGAACACCGGCTAAGACTGCAGCTCTTCTTAACTCAGCCCGGAGGGCAGTATGGGCTAAAACCTGGGAGGATGATCAGACGACAAGAGTTTGCGGTTTTCCCTTTTTTAGGGTCCTTTTCTTTTCGGCCTAGGGCTGGACCAGGTATTATCGAGGTCCACCGAAAAGGGGAAGAATTTCCCTGTCAAGGCCAAAAAGGATAAGGGGAAGAAGTTTTTTGTGCCCCCCTTAATCAGGCCCAGCAAAGATTTAGGAAGGACTCACCCAAGAAATAGGCCAACAAAGGAAGCTTCCTTTGTTCTGGCTCCAAACCCCACCAATAAGGACCCCAAATGTCATAGACCTCTAGGTGGGAGGAAGGCACATCATGAGAGTTCTAGGTCTCATGTAGCCTGTAGCCGGCCGTGGAGTGGGCACATTTTCATTCCAGGGAGCTTAAATTCTTCCTTCTATCCTCTTGAAACAGGAAAGTGGAGTCGCTGGACAAGAGGGTTTCAATCCCGGTGAGTGTAAAAACCTCGCTGGGATGGTGGCTCAAGCCCCAAAATTTGGGGTAAGGCAGACCATGAGCGCAGTGGGACACAGTTCGGGTAACCACAAACGCAAGCAAGTGGGGCTAGGGGGCTCATTTAGAGGACCAACAAGCCCGAGGCCCGTGGGAGCTACACCAAAAAAAGGAACCTCCTCCAATTGCAGAGAGCTGTTGGCAGTGGGTCGGGCCTTGAAGGCCTTTGCAGACAGGATCGGAGGAAAAGAAGTCCAAATTCTGTCAGACAATATGTCGAGAGTGGCATACCTGAATCACCAGGGGGGCACCAGATCCCAGAATCTCCTGAACCTAGCTCAGGAGATTCTAGGATGGGCAGAGTTCTTTCAGTGTCGGCGGTCCACATAAAGGGGTCGGTCAACATGAAAGCAGATTTTCTCAGTCAACTGTTCACCAGGGAGAGTGGGAACTCGATCACGAGGTCTTTTTTTTTTAGATAAGGCAGGTTTTTTGGAGCCTAGAGATAGACCTTTTTGCCTGCAGGAAAAACAGGAAGGTGAGATGGTATTTCTCACTGGCTTGGGAGCAGGGATCTGAAGGCCTGGACGCGTTAGCACAGGATTGGGATTTCGAGCTGGCATATGCATTTCCCCCTCTGCCATTGATCCCACGGATACTTCGGAAGCTGGGCTGATAAGGCTGCATACAGATCTTGCGGGTGGCCAAGAAGAGTCTGGTTTGCCACTTTGAAGAGGTGGGCTGTGGCTCCCCTGCAGCGTCTCCCAGTCAGGTGGGCTCTTCTCTCACAGGGGCCAACTCAGCACCCCAATTCGGAGTTTTTTCGGTAACGGCTTGGCTCTTGAAATGGAGATCCTTAGAAAAAGGGGGTGTTCTGAGAGTGATAGACACTCTTTTCCTCAGTAAAAAAAAAAAAAGGTAACTAGAAAAATATACGCCAAGGTGTGGAAAGTGTTTTTCAGCTGGTGTCAGAAAAAAGGGGCTTCCCTTCCCACGGTTTCAGTGATCCTAGACCTTATCCAAGCTGGGGTGAATAAAGGTATTGCAGAAAGCACCCTAAAGGTGCATATGGAGGCTTGCGTCAGAATCCCTGGTTAAGAGGTTTCTGGGGGCCAGGGAGTGAGTGACCCCTGTTAAATTACATAATTTTCCAGCTTGGGATCTGACCTTAGTGTTAGAGGCTTTATCCAAGCCACCGTTTGAGCGAGTAGCACAGGTTTCTGTTAAGATTTTCCTTTTAAGTTTGCCTTCCTTTTAGCCATCACAACGGCAAGGAAAATAGGTGACCTTCAGAACCTGTCTATCAAGGAACCCTTCCTGGTGGTATTAGAGGACAAGGTAGTACTTAGACAGAATCCCTTTTATTTGCCCAAAGTGGCCTCATAGTTTCATAGGACACAGGATAAATTTCTGTCTTTCTGTCAAAACCCTAGGAATGAGAGGGAAAAGAGTTTTAATTTTTCAGATGTCAGACGGTGTTTACTGACATATTTCCATAGAATAAGTGACTTCAGGATGTCGAGTCATCTTTTGATTTTTGTTGAATGGCCCGAGGAAGGGACAGCAAGCATCTAAGCCAACTATAGCTTGATGGATCAGACAAGCCATCTCCTTAGCTTATGAGCAATCAGGGGTTTCAGTTTCCTCACACCTTAAGGCTCACTCTGTTAGAGTATTGGCGACCTCTTGGGTGGAGAGGGCCAGAGCATCAATTGACCAGATCTGCTGAGCAGCCACATGGACAAGCCAGGACACCTTTGTGAGACACTACAGGGTAGAGTTGATGTCACCTCAAGACCCGATGTTTAGCAAGAAAGTATTACAGGCAGTAGTCCCACCTTAAGGTAGGCCTGAGTTCCTTGCTTATCGTCTCAGGTGTGCCGTCCTGGAAGATGAATAGTGAAAAGTACCAGTTACACTTAGCGGTAACGGTATTTCTGGGAAATCTTCCAGGACGGCAGCCCTACTTCCAACCCATAACTGGTGTTGGTTAATTCAAGACAGATTACCTTTTGTGCACCAGGGTGCAGGGATACTCTTATATAACTGAGGAGTGGAGGGAAGGGTGGGGAATTTAAACTCTGTAAATTTTTGATTAAGTTTCCTGTCAGGTGGAGCTAGTTATCTGGAAAATTTCCCAGAAATACTGTTAATGGTAAGTGTAACTGGTACTTTTTTATTACAAAGTTGAACTTATCCTTTAAGATTATGTAACTTCTTGAATGTCCATAGCTTGGATACAAAGTTCCTCCATTGATTTTCTTCCCTGGCTGTTCACTTTTGTCTGGGTTATGAGTTGGCCCCAGTGACTTCAGCTGAAATCTTGTAATATGAAAAAAGCATTTGGGTTGATGGCTAGAGGAGCATGGCTACCACTTATCCAAATAGCTGAACTAAAAAAAAAAAAAAGCTAATACGTTTTAATTATTAAAATTATCTAGTCAACCATTTAGGGATACATGCAATATTGGTTTGGAAAGTCCCTGTTTGACCTTCAAAAACAGAGAGAAAAAAAGAATCTTGGCATACTTAAGTTTTTTGTTGCCTTTTTGTGACTCTTTAGATGGTGGACATGGCTCAGAAATTAGGGGCAGCCCTGCAGGTTGGTGAGAGTCTTGTGTGGACAAAACAGAATAAAGACCAAAAAGCTAAGCAGAAAGCAGGAGTGAAAGGACCAGGAACAGAACAGACTCCACTGGGGTCGAATCAGGCTCTGGGTAGAGCAATGTCTTCTGCTGCTGGATACAGTAAGGCAGCCCTCCCAGCAGGTGAGACAATAAAAAAATGATCTGAACCTATTATTTTCCACACCGCTAAAATCAAAATCCATAACTTACCTTTCTTTTAGGATCCAGTGCACCTGTCTCCAAACCTCCATCTCTACCATTGGAGCCCGAGGACCCTTCAAGCTCAGGTTCTGCAACAGAATTCAAGAGGGGTGCCAGCTAATTGTAATATATTTATATTTCTGCTTAGATTAGCTAAATAAGATCTCTCTATGCTTTTATAAGACAAAGCTGAGTGTAATTGATTTTAGATCTGTTACAATGTTGAATATATATATATATACAGTTGTGTCCAAAATTATTCAACCCCCACTGAAATTGAGTGTTTTGGCCAGTTTGACATTGCTTTTGATCATTCAGTCATCTTGCTTACATTTACATTAAAGAGGCACTTGTAGGTCAGACAAATATAACATAACAGTTATAATGAAATAACCACAAATGTCTTTTCTGTGCTCACAGCATTATCAGTTTTATTCAACCCCCAAGTGACATTCAATCTTAGTACTTAGTACAGCATCCTTTTACAGTTATAACAGCTTTTAAACGTGAAGCATAGCTTGACACAAGTGTCTTGCAGCGATCTACGGGTATCTTCGCCCATTCTTCATGGGCAAAGGCCTCCAGTTCAGTCACATTCTTAGGCTTGCGCACTGCAACTGCTTTCTTTAAGTCCCACCAGAGGTTCTCAATCGGATTTAAGTCTGGTGACTGCGATGGCCACTCCAAAATGTTCCAGCCTTTCCTCTGCAACCATGCTCTAGTGGACTTGGAGGTATGCTTGGGATCATTGTCCTGTTGAAAGGTCCAACGTCTCCCAAGCCTCAGGTGTGTGACGGACTGCATCACGTTTCCATCCAATATCTCCTGGTACTGAAGAGAATTCATGGTACCTTGCACACGCTGAAGCTTCCCTGTACCTGCAGAAGCAAAACAGCCCCAAAACATGATTGACCCCCCACCATGCTTCACAGTAGGCAAGGTGTTCTTTTCATCATAGGCCTTGTTCTTCCTCCTCCAAACATAGCGTTGATCCATGGGCCCAAACAGTTCTAATTTTGTTTCATCAGTCCACAGAACACTATCCCACAACTTTTGTGGTTTGTCCACATGGCTTTTGGCATACTGCAGTCGACTCTTCTTATTCTTTGGAGACAGCAAGGGGGTACGCCTGGGAGTTCTGGCACGGAGGCCTTCATTACGCAGTGTGCGTCTTATTGTCTGGGCTGAAACTTCTGTACCCACATCTGACAAATCTTTTCTCAGTTCCTCAGCAGTCACACGGGGACTTCTCTCCACTCTACGCTTCAGGTAGCGCACAGCAGTCGAAGTCAGCATCTTCTTTCTGCCACGACCAGGTAGCGTTTCAACAGTGCCCTTTGCCTTGAATTTGCGAATGATGCTTCCTAAGGTGTCTCTTGGTATGTTTAACATCTTTGCAATCTTCTTATAGCCATTGCCCTTCCTGTGAAGAGAAATCACCTCTTCTCTTGTCTTCCTGGACCATTCTCTTGCCTTCACCATGTTTGTAACCACACCAGTAAATGTCTAGAAGGAGCTGAGTATCACAGTCATTTTAAAGCTGCCTAATTGGTGCTTATTATGCTTGATTGCTGCTCGGTGACATCCACAGGTGTTTTCAATACCTGATGGAAAGCACCTGTATGAACCTCTGTTCTTCAGAGTGGTAGTCTTTAAGGGGTTGAATAATTGTGGCAATGAAGAAACCACATAAGAACCATTTACTACTGTATTACATAAACAATTGATGTCATTTTAGTTGCATTTGGGGTAGTTACAACGTCCTTGTAGGATTTGATTCTGAATACAATTCCAAATGTACACTATAGTCCCTAAACCCCTTTACAGCATTGGGGGTTGAATAATTTTGGACACAACTGTATATATATATATATATATATACACACACACACATACATACATGATTACACAACCTTTATAGAAGGTAGTGAGATATACATTGTATATATAAATGCAAACAATCGTTTACGTGGTATTTATGTAATTTAATAAGCATCATCAAAGCCGACCTTCTATGCCAAATGTTTTTTTTTGCCAGCCCCCTGCTCACAACCCCCCCCCTCCCCCCAACACAAGAGCAAGTTTTTTTTTGGGGGGGGGGGGGAGGGGCAAACTGTTTACAAATAACCTCTTAAAGCCATGAGGAAAAAGGACATGGGAGGAGGAGGGGGCTGTCCAAAAGCAGACCTTCTGTTTGGCATGGAAGATCTGCTTTAAATGAATCTACTGTGTGTTGTATTAGTGGTGGCGATAATAGTTTGCCTTGCAACACCCACAATCTGTGCAGATTATATACCCAGATACAACAGAGCTTTTTAACCTGTTCTCAATATATTTATAGTAAAAAAATTAGGAAGCAAATAAACGGATTTCTTTTATTTTACATTCCGATCATTTCTACACCCTTGATTGTGTTAAAGAGAAATTGAAATGTGGAAACCGTGCCCATAAAAAGGTAGCACAGAGCAAATGGCTAGTTACCAGTGTTGACTGATCTCCCTGCAGCTGATCTTTCCCCCACTACAGACTTGCCATGTCTGACTTACCTGCATTGTTTCTCTGTGTAGAGGCAGTCATCTTGGTAGAGGCAGGGCTTTGCTTCCTCATGTCAACCTCTAGCAAAGAGAACAGTGAGTAGCACAAAAGGAGCAGTGCCTTAATCTCATACAGATGATATGCAGGTATGAGGCTGTAGGCACAGAAGCACCTAAACAATCTCACATCTCAGGAAACACACTGCTATTTTTTAGCAATGCCAGACCAAAGGTACCATTTTCAGACTTCTGATTATGCGCAAACAACATTTTTATATTTTCCATATAACATACCAAATCTTCACTTTTTGCATTAAGTTCCACTTTAAGCAGATTTGTTTCGTGGCTTCCACAGTATAGGCATGCCCTAGACTTCCAGTCAGAGTTCAGTAGGTGTGGGTATAATTGTTTTCTGCCATGATGACAATGCAAACATGGATATTTTGTGTAAAGGTTGTTGTAGGTTGCTATGTTTGTCATCACTTTCCTAACAAATCCCTAACACTTTGTGAATTACCAGTTTGTAAATGCATGACCATTTTTCCTGTTGTGTATGGTTGCTGCAGCTGAGCAGTATGGGGACTGCTAATGTTTGCTTAACTCTCCTTAAGCCTTTGGCGAACACGTCTCCTTACAGAAAGCTAAGCCAAGTCAGGACTCATGTCTGAAGGAAAAGCAAACACAAAGAAGGAAAGAGCAGATCATGTGTACTTTTTAACATGTGATATACAAGAGGTGGACAAAATTATAGAAACACCAGGTAAAATAACAAAATTGTTACTGGTGGATAATGGAATCTGATACCACTCTTTATGCAAAAATTGTTCCAGTTCTTGCAGAGTTGCTAGAGGCAGAAAACGAGCCTGAACCTTGTTCTCCAAAATCAACCATAATGGCTCTATGATATTTAGGCCTGGCGACTGCGGCGCCCAGGGAAGGTGCGAGACTTCATCTGCATGCTTGTCAAACCACGATTTGACAACATCAGCTGTGTGAATCTGAACATTATTGTCTTGGTAAATGGCGCGGTCTTCATGAAACAATGTCTGCACCAAGGTGTGTACATGGTTGTCCAAAATTTGTACATAGTCACTGGCAGTGACTCTACTTTTTTAAGGTGATGAAGAATACCAAGATTTGACTGCCCAAACCATTGCGCCACCACCATGCATTACCGTTGACACAAGACAGTCCTGGTCATAAGCTTCAAGCCGTGTTTGCCACGCGTAAACACGTCCGGTGGTCGGGAATCGTGTGGAGCTTGAGTCATCGGACTATTTTTCAGTCTTCCATTGATCAATAGTCCACAATTTATGAGTGTTGCACCACTCTCTCCTCTTCTCAGTATTAATATCAGTTTTGCAGTTGCAGTTCGCACATGAATGTTTTGCTTATGGAGATCTTTCTGTACAGTTTTTGTGGACATGGGCTTTGGAAAACTGAGACTGAGCTCTGCAATCACTTTTGCAGCAGTTTTTTTTTCCTGGGTCACGTTCCTGCGCAGTGTCCTTTTGTCTTTCGATCTGTTGAGCTCTAACTTGACTCTGTATTACTAGCAGTGCACACAGTGAATGATTAAAGTGAGACTTCCCACCTGTTAGCTAGGTGTCTCATCACACAGTGAAAGCAAAAGAATGTTACATCATGTCTGCTTTCAACGCAAAACATGTCGCCACTTTCACACCTGCAAATTATGTAGTGTTTCCATATTTTTGTCAAACCCCTGTATTGTTTACACTGCACACAAATAGCAGTGTAATTGTAGCTGCTTTGCATTTCATCATCTTCCTTCTGATTAGTATCTTTCCTCTTCGCTAATGTCAGTTAATAAGTTCTGCTTGGGGAGCTGAAGGTAGCCAGCTATAGCTTGTGCAGGCAAAATACTTTCCTAAAAAACTGTATAGCATGTGTGATGAAAATATTCATAGTGCGACTGTGTACAAATTTTGGCTGACCATGTGCACACCATGGTGCATACAATGTTTCCTGAAGACAGCGTCATTTACCAAGACAATAGTGCTCTAATTCACACAACTGGTGTTGTCAAATCATGATTTGATGAACATGCAGCCAAAGTCTTGCACCTTCCCTGGGAACCGCAGTTGCCAGACCTCAATTTCATAGGGCCACTATGGTTAATTTTGAGAACAAGGTTCGGGCTTATTTTTCACCTCTGGCATCTCTGCGAGAACTGTTCTTTTACCTGGTGTTTCCATATTTTTGTCCAACCCCTGTATGTATAGCACGTTTTTGCAGAGCTTTCAGCAAGCTTTGTTGAAGCTCAGTTTGTGAATGTTGAATACAGAGAAGGCAAGTATAAACCTGTTTTTTTTTTTAAATGACAAAGTTTACAATCACTTTAACCACTTGCCCTACAGAGGATCCCCCCCTTCCTGACCAGGCCATTTTTTGCATTATGGTGGTGCGTTACTTTAACTGGCAATTGCGCGGTCATGCATCGCTGCACACAAATAATATTTATGTCCTTTTTTTTCCCCACAAATAGAGCTTTCTTTCGGTGGTATGTGATCACCTGTGCGGTCTTTATTTTTTGCGCTATAAAAAAAATAAAAGACCGGCGAAGTTGAGAAAAAAATATTTTACTTTTTGCTATTAAACCTGTCCAGTAAACAAAATAAATTTTAAAAAATAATTTCGTCATAAATTTAGGGCAAAATGTATTCTGCTACATGTCTTTGCTAAAAGGAAAATTCCAATACGTGTAAATTAATTGGTTAACGTGAAAAGTTATAGGCTTTACAAATGGTGGTATATATACACACTGGGATTTTTTTTTTTCTACTAGAAATGGTGGTGATCAACGACTTATCGTGGGACTGCTGTGGGCATTCTGACACTGGGGGGAACTGATTTGGTGTCACTGACATCCCCAGTGACACCAATATGGTGATCAGTGCTAATAAAAAGCACTGACACTGTACTAATGGCACTGGGGCAGGAAGGGGTAAATATGTGGGGCAATCAAAGGGTTAACTGTGCTGTTTTAGTGTGTGTGTTTCCACTGTAAGCACATTGCTTTGGATGGTTCTGCTATGCATAGCAGTGTGTAGGAGCTGACGGAAGAGAACTGAATTGTTTACTTACAGTTCTCTCCCTACGTCGGTAATGCTCCTTGATCACTGGTTGCTGGCAAGTAATCACCAGCCGGGACCCGGTGATTGACAACCGAGGCCGTGAATAGCGGCGCAGGTAGGGCAGTGCACCTTAATGTGACAGACATTTCATTAAATCCCTAGCTGCTTGAAGTTGCCATTGTCTTGCATACTGCATTCTAATCCCAGGGTCATCACTTCACTGTGTGGTTGGCTTGGGAGTCCTTTACAGGATTTAGCACCAAAATAGTATACTGACCAATCAAAATTACTTGCAAAAAAAGTGTGCTTCATTTGAGCCAACAACCTTCCCTCTCAAAGCCACACCCACGCCAGGCCAGTTTAGATGACAGTTAAAGCGGAACTAAATCAATGTAACAACATTTTTACAAAAATGTTACATTCCCGGCATGCCAAATGTCACATTTGCATGTGTTCTCAACCAAACCTGTCAAACCATCAAATGGCTGGTGTGACAACAAATCAAATGTGCAGTACCATGGCAGTGCAGATCTAGCAGAGGCTAAGATGGCAGCTTCCTTGGCTGAAAAGGATAGGAGGCTTTAGTTCCGCTTTAAAAACTACAGTATTCAGGATCATGGAAAACATTCACAAATCACTCAGGCAGCACTCTGGTTAAATCAATTCTATGAACCAACCCAACATCTATTCACACACATATCACAGGTGAACTCAGTCTATAAAGAAGTTGTGTGTGATTAGCTCTGTTACTTTCCTTTATCCAGACACTATGAACTCTGTAAGAATTATTACCATTTATTAAAAAAAAAAGTTACAAAGTTTTATCACAAAACGGTACGTTACAAAAAGTGTGATTTTTTTTTTTTTCCAGTGATCTGAAAAACAATAGACAAAAGCATAACAAAACAGATGCAAATATGTATTGTGGCCAGTTACCCAATGAGAAAAAGTTAGACGTGTATCTACCACATACACCATATCTACATTGTTTGTTACCACTGCATATTGGTGACCTGATGGTACATAATAATAATAAATAAAAATAATCGTTTTGGTATAGAACTGTAACAGCACAGTCCGCTAAATCATCAGCTGCCCCCGACAAAGTCAAAGCATAAAAAAAGGGTTTATATAAACTGTATAAGTTGAATAAATAAGCCTAAGACGTTATCTTTTGTATAAAAAAAAAAAAGGTTGGGGGGTTTAAAACATAAGAGGATTCAAAGTAGTAATATTTTGGTCCCATTACCCCCCCCAAAAAAAAAACCCCCCACAAACCTCAGCAGACAGCACAAGTGCTAGAGATGGACAAGCATAACACAGAAAAACACTGGAATGTATGGTGTAAGACGTTAATGATTATTGTTATCAGTCCACGATGTGGGTTGTCCATGTAACAGTAGTGCCGTCCTCAGTAACCTGTTTGGCTTTGGGAACCAGTTCCCAGTAGAGCCTTTAAAGACACAATGGGATTAATCAATTCACAACAGCTAGAAAATAACAAGGAGCTTGATGTCAACCAATGCACAGATAGGCTGTGTACCTTGTATGTGCTCCAATGGGTAATTATTAAATGTAACTGGAATGTCCCTTAGTAATATGTGTGAACTGCTTCCCTTTAACCGATAAAAAAGCTGTGATAATGGTACCCTCACCATGTTACCTGTTCAGCACTGTTCAGGCTGTAACATACAAAAAAGTCAACTGTTTTCAGATATGTCTACAGCAGAGTAAACCCAACAGTGGAGCACTTATGTTGGCAATACAACTGTTCAATAAAACATGTATGCCAAACATGATGCATCCATGACCACAGCATTAGATGCTCCCCAGTTCCTATACTATAGAGATAAGTGCAGTGATGAGCATGCTGGAGCACTACCGAATAAATAGTGGAAAGGGAGGGGGCCTGGGCATCACATCTCCAGACTAGACACTGTCCCCTTGTGCTTTTGCATCAGACTTAAGGCCTGGTTAACACTATGCATTCCAGTTGCGGGTGTCGCACTGATTCCCGAAACCGAACTACGGCTTCTCTTGCATGGCTCACTGGGCTGCCATTCATTCTGAATGGCACCCCCATGCATCTCAGCCTGCAGCGTGATCGTGGTTGCGGGAACTGCAGGGAAACCGCATGATCCAAAAAAGACCAAGTTGTTTCCCTGCGGCCGCATTTTTAAAAAGGTTTATGTGCAGTTCACGCGGCACAGTAGTCCATTGAATGAATGCCCAAGCAAACGCGGTCCGCACGGCCAGCCCTAGGGTGAACCAGGCCTAATTTAGCAGTGAAAACAATTTGTAGCCTATGAGGAAAAAGATAATCTCTTGCTGGAGCTTTGTCTACTAAATAAGTCTATATTTTGGGGGCATTTTTTTAAATAAAAAAAGGTGTATGTTTAAATCACCTGCAAAGTATGCTAGTACCAGCTCTAATGGAAAGAACAGGAAGCATTAACCTATGTATTACTGCAGAAAAAAAAAAAAGCTTGAACATATAACAGAGTTGCTGGTATATCTAATATCTATTAAGATAGCATTACAATTTAAACCTAGCTCTATCAATATAGGTAATGAAGGGTAATTATTCAATCTACAAAATACAAATGGGGGGTACAAGTTTTAAAGTATAACTAACATTTTACTTTAGTTTGGGATATAGTGGAGAAGGAATAGAGCACCTGTCAGGTTATTATTGCTGTGTGTGCCTCCATTAGATTCACCCTCTAGATTTGCCCGATTTACCATTATCACAAAGAACAGAAATTAGGGGGAAAAAATCCCAAATTTTGGATTGTCACCAGAACAGAAAGAGGCGAAATCTTCCAACTCAGACACCAGTCTGGTAACAGCCAGGGATTCCCTCACTATGGAGGGATTTCTTCACTTCTTGTTGTGGTTATAGGCGAGTAAGTGAAAAGAAAACACCCAATCGGAACACAGACAGCAAAAAAAAATAAATTAATAATACGGCAGGCATTACAACTCTCCCTTACTCCATCCAAAATGAAAAACATTAAAATTAAAAAGCATACACTGTAGTTTTCATTTTGGCAAGGAAGAGTCTCAAACAGATAGTGATGATTTATTACAATCAATCACATTTTCCCTTAATATTGTACACGAACTTGGGGAAGACCTTAGGTTGCTGTGGGTAAAACAAACAGTCAGAGATTATACCTTTTAGAGACCTTCAATGTGGCTCATTTATTAAAAAATAAAAATAGTGCAAAGGAAAATGGTAGTGTTACCCACAGCAACATCAGATGTTTTGCTTCATTTTCTGTTGAGAAATAAATAATGGGCACCAGGTGTCTGATCTTGTGCATAGGTTATCAGAAATAATCTCAACTGGAATGAATACAGTGCTAAAGGGCCTCATAGATAAAAAAAAAGTGCCTTTCATTCATAGCAAGAAATCAGGTTTTGAGGGATATTTTACTAACACTGGTCAGAAAATAAAAAAAGAACGGGATGAGTTCCTATGGAGGATGTGGATACTTTTCCATACATAAGGCCCTGTGTTGAATGCTTAAGCTTTTATATATAGTAAACACCTTCTATGTGCAGCATTATGTTTTTATGGTATAAAAACTTACTGCATCCCACTGTCAATTATTTTCCCATAAAACCAACAAGAAAATCTGCATTCGGAGATCCTCTGAAAAAAACATTATAAAGCATGGCTCTAAGCAGCCTTAAATTTCTGAGATTTATCTTTTCAGTGCCAGCAGCAGATTTGACCTGTGCATGTCTGTAGTACCAGACTGTTTCCTCATTCAGTCTTCACTTCTGAAAACAACAATCCTTCCGCAGATATAGCATCACCCAGGCCCACAGTCCTAACAGGCTCTTTGCATATGAGCACAGGTGTGAAATGGAAGGTAACTCCACCTTTCTTCCAAACTGCCACAGGTTCCTTGGCACTCACCCTGGCAGTGGGACCCATGTCTGTTTTGGAGGTAGAAAATTCCAGTGGGCTTTTCAGTGTTACTTTTGAAGGTTCAATAATTTCACTGGCACAAGCTTGGGTGCCAGCAATCCGAGCACCTGCAGCGACAGCAGCCACCTGATTTCCCCAAAAGCCATCCACAGTGGCCAGAATGTGGTAGGCCAAAGTGTGGAAGTGGACTCTGGTAAGAGCAGAATCTCCATCAACAGAACCCTTCAGAATCCAGAACAAGATGTCACTCACTATTCCAACATCCGGGATTCCTGACCATGCTGGGAGTGCTGAGTGAGGACCAGAGGATGACTGGCTGAGGAAAAGAAGCTCTTGTTCATTAAGACCCACAGAACTGATCACTGGAAAGACCTGCTGACCAAAATAACAGAGAAGAATACAGAGAGCTTATGATAAAAGGATACAATTTACATACATACACATTTTAGGCAAAGTGCTATAAGCAGCAACTCACAGAATCATAAATAAACTGACCTCTGTTTGCTACAGGTGTCCCTTAAATCATTCTTACTCTTTACACTTATTTATGGTATAAGGCTGTATATCTGCTAAACCTGTTAAAATAGAGACTGTTCTGAAAATTAAGCACCTGCTGACCACTCACAGTAAAATATACTGCGAACAGGCACAATCACGTACCTGAATGCTGGCTCTTTCTTCCAGGTTCAGAGTGCACATCCACATGCCCCCTGCCAGCCAGTGCTGTGATTGGACACAGCACAAGTTTGACAGCAGCTTTCAGCCAGATTTTGGCTGAAATCAACTTCTTTACAAACACACAGAACTCTGTGCATAGGAACAGCAATCTGGGGTTTCTTCTCCATGAAAAGCAAGGAGAAAAAGCAGCCAGATAGTAAAGTAAAAGCAGCACACATTACACATTGTTAGGTACACAGCTAACCCCTTGATTACCCCTAGATGTTAACCCCTTCCCAACCAGTGTCATTAGTACAGTATTATCACTGATCACTGTATTAGTGTCACTGGGGATGTCATTGTCAGTTAGTGACCCTCCCTGATAGTGTCTGTTAGCATCAGATTGCCTGCCACCCTATCACAGTCCCACTATAAGTCGTTGATCACTGCCATTACAGTATAGTGTCTATAGCTGCCTAAATTCCAGTATATACACTATTAATTTGTAGATGCTATAGCACAAACCAATTAATATACACTTAAAACACTAAAAAGACATGTAGCAAAATACATTTTGGCCTCAATTTAAAAAATAAAATAAAAATTCTGTTATTGAATGTTTTATAACAGTAAAAAAAAAATTTTTCTCCACACTTTTTGGTCTTTTTTTCACTTATATAATAAAAAACCCAGTAATCAAATACCACCAAAAGAAAGCTCTATTTGTGGAAAAAAAAGATAAAATCTCATTTGTGTACAGTGTTGCATGACCATACAATCGCCAATTTAAGTAGCACAGTGCTGAATATCAGAAAATGCTCTGGGCATGAAGGGGATAAAACCTTCTGGAGGTTAAGTAGTTAAGGCCCTCCATGCCTACTGAAAGTGAAAAATAAGCATTGTTTTGTAATCTAGAATGGTTCCCACTGACACACCCAACACTATTTTGAGATAACCATAATTGTAATTATTTTGAAACAGTTAAATTGAAAAAAAAAAATATATCTCTCTTGGTGCAACAAACAGGAATTTTGTTACAGAAACAGGTAAAATAAAAAGCTAGGCAGACCAACCTAATAAAAAAGAGCAAACAAGAGGCGCACACCCCTAGTGCATTATCCAAGGTTTATTGTAGTATAAAAAGGGATGAAAACATACTCAAAAACATGGCATAAATGTACAGCTTAGTAGAACGGTGGAGATGGCCATAGCAATGGCGGGGTGTCTGACTGTCAAAATGGTCGGCTAGCTGATGCGTTTCAGGGACAAGTCCCTTCCTCAGAGCACCAGCTCTGAGGAAAGGGACTCGTAGGCAAATTTGGTCCTGGTTCCCCTGGCTTTCCTGTGGCATTTGATCCCTGGAGCACTGGAGAGTTTATTCTGGTAGACCAACCTAGTAACTCAACCTTCAATTCAGGGCTCAAACAGCTAAGACATTGACTCCAATCTTTTAGACACAACCTGCTCCTTGGATTTATCCAGCTCTGTGTTAAGCTACCTATAGGTAATTTATTTATGGCGCAATTAAAAAAGAGTTTATAAATAAATTAAACCAGCACTACCCAGCAAAGGAAGCAGGATTATAATCAACTCTCTGGTGCCCCTCATCACCTACTTCCCCCTCCATTCCAGCGCTGCATTCCCCTTCAGTATCTTGCGAAAGGCAAAGTTTTTATTGCTGTCTGTGTTACCATTAAGTCGATTTTAATTAATGTCCTGTCCCAAATGGCACTAGTTCCTAGCACAGGAAGTGAAAGGAAATCTCCTAACATGCAGTACCAGACAGCAAGAAGAAAAAAAAAAAAAAAAAGACAAAAATTTCAAAGCTCTTTGTGCAGTCTATGTTTATTTCCCCTCACTTCCTCCGCTACCAATGAGTATGGGCAGAGGCAACAACAAAAACCTGACAAGGAACCCTTTGCCCACAAAAAAAGAAAAAAAAAAAAAAAAAAAAAAAAAAAAAAAAAAAAAGACAGCTGTGGGTAGACTAGAAGTCTTTATGTATGGAAATTGACCAGCCCTTTGGAAGTAGAAAATCCACAATACAAGTTGTCAAACAAGTCACAAAATTATGATTAGCGTTTCTCCATCTGGGTGGTTACCTGGTGAATGATTCCTCTCATTAAATCTCCGTCAGTCATACTAGCCAGCTCTAGATGAATGAGAATATCTGAAGGGACATCTGACAATGCAGTGGCTGCCTGAGGGCAAAGAGAAGACAATGTTGAGCCAATAGTCAGTTTGCGTAGGATGGAAAAATACATAAGCAGAAGTGAAAATGATCATTAGACCCAGAGCTATAGGTAGATAATTATATGCAAATTTTGATCCTTCTTTTAAGTCACCCTTGGTCCCACCCCTTCCTACTGGACCTCCCTATTACCAAATGCACCAGCAGGGAAATTGAAGGGATAGAGCCAAGCTGAACCTGAATGTCTTTACATTCCATAAAACCTCAGCTGACTATATGGTTCTCAACTTCTCAAGTTTGTTAAGGGTTTACTTTGAGTATAATCCTTCATGATACAAGTCCTACCAGCTATTACTGTGCACAAGATAAAAGGGGTGTTATATCAAGATACTATAAAAGATAAACAAAACAAACAAACGATGTTAAACTTGAAAGACATATCGAAGAAACCTAATTAAGCTAACAACAATTATGAAACAATTAGGGGGTTTTATTACTCATTAAAGTGGTTGTTCACTCAAAATTAAAAAAGTCAGCAGCTACAAATCCTGACTTTTAATAAAAGGATACTTACCTGCCTGGGGATCCAGCACTGTCCTGACATGGGCTAGTTCTTCACTGGTCTTTGGGTCTCTGGCGCCGGAATCCTAATTGTGGGCAGCCGATTATGCTGCTTTTGGCTTCACAGCCACCTGTCCATTGCGCTGTGCTTTGTGAATGGTCCTGCAGTCTGTTGGGACCTGTTACATGTCCCAGCAAACTGCAGGAGAGGGGTGGACTTCAATTTGGATCACCTGCAGGGGGGTTAGCAGGTACCTGTCAAAACCAAGTACCTGTACCCCCCCAACCCCAAAAAGTATATGCCAAATTTGGGGGGTGGTATAGGAGGGACATGGAGGACTTAAAGAGGAACTTTCTCTTTTGGGTGAAGGTCCTGCTTTAACTTCCTAATTTATATTGACCTGCTATAGGCAATACACTTTGCCTTCAAACAGATTTAATAAATTAGCCCAAGTTTTCCCCAATCCTGTTACTATGTGATGTACAAGCCTCATAAAAGCAAAATAAATATAAAAACATTCCTTTATCCTCTCTGCCAGATCCTTCTTCACTGTGGGAGGGTTTCATGCAGCACAGCACTGCCAATTCAGTTGGCAGGACTAGGTGGTGCCAGGTTCTGAATGCCACTGCTTGTGAATCCGCAATGACAATGCTGATGGGGTGGTCCTGCAATATCTCAACCCACTATATTACAAGCAGGAAGAGCCTACATGAGAGTGGCAACTCCACTTTGAATTCAAGAGTATTACAGCATTGTTGCCAACCCATCACAGGAACCTGCTTTAGCTGGACTTAACTGGCAGACCCAACAGTGGGACTAAAAGAAAACTGTAGGTGCAGATACACTTATAATTAAGTATAGTTTTTAAAATGTGAGGCCATACTTTAACAAAATAAAACAGAAAAAGAGCTTGCGCCCCCAACTAGCATACTACATTTTTTAATGTTGAAATAAAATTAATATAGCAGGCAAATACAATTTTGTAGAGGTGTGCCTTTCTGTTTTCTCACCTCTTGCAAGCGGTTGGCTCTTGCCTCCTGGGATAATCCCTCCATCATGTGCAGCCCCGAAAGAACCAATAGCTCTGGCTGGAATTCCTCCAGACTGGAAAGCAGAATCTCCAGTGACGTCATGGCTCCATTTGATAAATCATGAGAAAATATAAACCTGCTTGCAGCTGGAGCTTGACCTGAGCCCCACTTCTCCCCTACAAATAGCACACAATAATAAGTGAATAGTGTCCTCTGCCTTACACAACATGCAATCTAAATCATTAATGCTGCTAAACCATTGCATATAGATGTTTTTACCAGCTTTATATTCCAGTATAAGATGGTACTCGTCCTGCTCCTTCAGTGATGCTGGGGGTACAACAATTCTTTCATCCAATAATTCATGTAGCTTAGGACCTATTGGCCCACACAGGAGAACCTAAGATGTTTAGTGAAAAAAAAAAAAAGGATACAGACTGTCAGCAGTGATTATACTTTCAGCAAAGGAAAAAATAGACATGCTGATCACTTTAATTTTCCTGTCATGTTGATTAGTCATTAGGAAGAGCTAAAATAATTTGATCCAAATGACTCTGCAATCCCAAAATAACAGCACAGTATTGCTGACATAACATACAGTAGAGAAGATGCAGGTTATTTTTACCTCCAGATTTGGATGTGTTGTCAGTCTCTGAGCAATGAGAGCAGCATTTCCTCCAACAAAATGCTGTAAATAAAGAGCAAAAACAACTCAGTGACTCAGATGGAAAGGGAAACATAATCACTACATGGTTACTCCTAGTTTTGTATGTTGAAGCAGAACTCCAGCCAAAAACAAGAGAAAAATGATTAGCCTATTAAAAGATAAAATTTAAAAAAAAAAAACAGTTTTTCCTGCAATATTTACCTTTATTCCAGAGACTTCCTCACAGCACTTTTTTTTTATAGTCTCTAGATGTTCTCAGTCTGATGGCTACCATCATTCAACCCACTTCTGAGACTCATATATGGGCTGCTGTACTCTGCTTGCATTTAAAAATACATTTAATAAATGTACTGATTAATACAGAGATGCATGAATGTATGTGACATCTGAATAGTGTTCAGCTTTAATCTTTCCGCTGGTATGACATTACACTTGCAGTATATGGGAAAATTGGTAACAGCCCAATTCTAGGGATTTCTATTTATTTTGTAAGCTTTGTACATAATGGGGAAGGGAAAGCTGTGTCTACCATAACTGCCACTTGTGTCCCCAGGGGTTGGGTTGGGTCCCTTACAATGTCAGCTGTCAGGACAACAAACTGGAGGAAAACTGCCAACCTTCTTAAAAAACATTTAGTGAGTAATAGAGGATTAGAACCTCTGTGGGTCACTACTTAACCCAACCAAGTGTTTCAAGAGACAAAGTTTGTTCAAAATGTAATGTGAACAAAAATCATCTCATTATATTATCTGTGCATTTAACATATTTTTAAGTATAATTTTACTGGAAAAAGCCTCCCTTCTGTAGACACCAAAAGCCGTGAGACTGCTGCTGGATGGTGCCATCTTGGATGTGATGTCAGCAGCCCCAGCAGACTCAGAGCCATCATCAAGTAGCTCCATAAATGTCTATGTGAGAAGGTGAAGGGCCAACATGCAGGGTCCGCACAGATGCAGATTTAGCCACTTCTAGCAGAAGAGAAAGATATGATATACAAAAGGAGGGAGAGGGCTGAGCTGTAACTCTCCAAGAGTAGTCATTTTTTTTTTTTTAAGTTCAAAGGCACATTCTAATTGTATAAAAATAATTTACAGAAAAAGGAAAAAACAGCTGCCAGTGAGCATTTGAAATGCTCGATTTTCTGACTTTGTTTTTTTTTTTTAAAAAAGTATACTTCATTATAGTATATATCCAGTATACAGAATCAACAGAGATAGGCAAGAAATAAAGTGCCATACAGCCCTTTACACATAACATCACCATAGGAAAGACTGAGGCTCCATAGGACCCAATTACGTGAAGAAACCTTAGATTACCTACAGTAAACATTGCCCCACCATTCTATGGCTGAATAGTCGTCGCCCTTCAAAAGCAAAGTTGCCTAGTAAACAATAAAGTAGGTATATCCCAAGGGCCAAACCGTACTTGACCCAACTAAATATCTATGGATGGGAAGCAGCCACTAAGGGAAAAAGTCAATGAATAGTGCAAGGAAACCAAAGAGGAAGATGACAGGAAAGAAAGGAAAGAAAGAATGGAAGGAGAAAAGAAAAAGAGGCCCATGACCAGGAGCTCACCCACAACCCCCCACAGCTGCTCCAAGCTCTAAAAAAATATTATAGGAAAGGCTGAAGTTTAGGGGACGTGAAGAAATTGATCCCAAGTAAACCGAACTTGCATGAAATTCAGCTACCTCTCATATAGACTGGCCATGAGCTCTTCCATTTGCATTGTGTTAAGTTCCTCTACCCATTTCCTCACAGAGGGGGGAAGTAGCTTTTTTCCAGTGTCTGGGGATCACGTGCTTCTGCAATGAGGAAGAGGAAGATACCCTTTTTGAGGTGAGCGATGGACCCAGGTATGACTGAAAGGCCACCTCTGGGGTGTCTGGCCAAGAACGACCCGTTATCTAATGACACAACTGGAAAATAGAGGTCCAGAAGGGTCAGGCAGGTGCAACTAAAGCCCTCACTGGCGCTAGACACCCATGTCTGCAGCACGTGAAAATCCAGAAGAGCGCTTTTAACAAGGGATGATTATACTACTATACAGCAACACCTCGCACTGCATACAGTACCTATTATTATTATCCTTTACCTACCAAGCTGGCAAAGGATTTACAACAACATTGTCCTGGAGATAGGCTTTAAAGCAGTATTAACCCCCCCCAAAAAAACATAATATATTTCAGCTTACCAATCCTCAAATGTGTTAATTGCGTTACATTTATGTTTTTAGGCTTTTTCCCTCCTATTTTCACCTAATGGTCTTGTCAGTATCATACTCCCTGTCTTAGGGTGCCTCCGCTCTGGATGGAGGAGCAATAGAGACACCTTTGGACAGTAGCATTATCAGTCTGGGGAGAGAGGGTAGTGTTAGACTAGTAGATTTAGATGCACATGACAAATTAAAGCCAAACTCCGACTAACACCTTTTTGGCAGTTACAGCAGTTTTTTTTTTGTTTTTTTTTTTTGTTTTTTTTTTTTTAGGAGAAAGGTTTTATATAACTGAATAAAGGCAGACTGCTGTAAGCACTTGTGTCGGTGTTAAATGGTTTTAACTGCCACTTTGGACCGTTTGGTCTGTTAAAGGAAGCTGAAAAATAACAGATTTAGGCCTTGTTCACACCATAAGTGCAGAAAAACTGATGGAAACTGACACGCAGATTTCACTTGCAGAGACATCCGTTTACATCTGATGGAAATTGACACGCAGATTTCACTTGCAGAGACATCAGTTTACATCTGATGGAAAAATGACACGCAGTTTCACTTGCAGAGACATCCGTTTACATCTGATGGAAATTGACACGCAGATTTCACTTGCAGAGACATCAGGTTACATCTGATGGAAACTGAGATGCAGATTTCACTTGCAGAGACATACATTTACATCTGATGGAAATTGACACGCAGATTTCACTTGCAGAGACATCCGTTTACATCTGATGGAAATTGACACGCAGATTTCACTTGCAGAGACATCAGTTTACATCTGATGGAAACTGACACGCAGATTTCACTTGCAGAGACATCCGTTTACATCTGATGGAAATTGACACGCAGATTTCACTTGCAGAGACATCAGTTTACATCTGATGGAAACTGAGATGCAGATTTCACTTGCAGAGACATACATTTACATCTGATGGAAATTGACACGCAGATTTCACTTGCAGAGACATCCGTTTACATCTGATGGAAATTGACACGCAGATTTCACTTGCAGAGACATCAGTTTACATCTGATGGAAACTGACACGCAGATTTCACTTGCAGAGACATCAGTTTACATCTGATGGAAACTGACACGCAGATTTCACTTGCAGAGACATCCGTTTACATCTGATGGAAACAGATGCAGATTTCACTTGCAGAGACATACATTTACATCTGATGGAAATTGACACGCAGATTTCACTTGCAGAGACATCCGTTTACATCTGATGGAAATTGACACGCAGATTTCACTTGCAGAGACATCAGTTTACATCTGATGGAAACTGACACGCAGATTTCACTTGCAGAGACATCCGTTTACATCTGATGGAAACTGACACGCAGATTTTCACTTTCAGAGACATCCGTTTACATCTGATGGAAACAGATGCAGATTTCACTTGCAGAGACATACATTTACATCTGATGGAAACGGACACGCAGATTTCACTTGCAGAGACATCCGTTTACATCTGCTGGAAGCTGACACGCAGATTTCACTTGCAGAGACATCCATTTACATCTGATAGAAACTGATAGACTGATTTCACTTGCAGAGACATCCGTTTACATCAGTTTTTATGCAAGTTTCAATGAGTTTCACTTGCAGAGAAATCCTTTTACATCAGTTTTCATGCGAGCTTCAATGAGTTTTAGTCTGGGTGCGCATTAATGCGGTGTAGGACACTGCATGTAATTCGCACAGGAATTGCATCGCATTCCTGTGCAAATTGCATGCAATGTCTGTGCGGTGCGATCTGATCCATACATTTTGTATGGCTCAAATCGCATCCACACCAAAAAAGGTGCAGGACCCCTTTTTTTTTTAATCCGCACTGAATTGTATCACATGGGTGTTCTCACCCATTTGTGTTTTGCGAACTGTTTCGGAGTGTCATTAATTTAACTTTGACACCTGTACCATGATGCGACTGCAATTCGGTGCGGGAAACGCACAGGATTTGCAGCGTTTCCCGCACTGCATTAGTCTGAACTGGGGCTTATACAAGTTGCAGATTTCTGCACAGAAAAAATCCACACGATACTAGTGTTGTGGCGTGAACAGGGCACACAGAACAATTGATCTCATTGTTCCCTTGCAGAACGTGTGCAGAAAAACTGATGTCTCTGCACTCTGGTGTGAACGAACCCTTTCTGGTCAGATTAACAGGTGGAAAAAGCCTAAAAGAGAAAACTAATGCAGTCACTATGATTACTTCAATACTGGTACTGCAATAGATTACATTTTTGTTTTTGGGTTTAGTATCACTTTAATGGAAAAGTTTTAACAGATTTTCTTTCGCTATGTCATTAACCACTTGCCCTCCTGAGGATTTACCCCGCTTCCTGACCAGGCCATTTTTTGGGTTACGGCGCTGTGTTACTTTAACTGACAATTGTGCGGTCATGCAACGCTGCACCCAAATGAAATTTACGTCCTTTTTTCCCCCACAAATTGAGCTTTCTTTCAGTGGTATTTGATCGCCTCTGCGTTTATTTTTTGTGCTATATATATTAAAAAAATATAGACGACAATTTTGAGAAAAAAAATATATATATTATTGACTTTTTGCTATTAAATATGTCTTGTAAAAAAGTTTAAAAAATCTACTTTTGGCATAAATATAGGCCAAAATGTATTCTGCTACATGCCTTTTCTAAAAAAAAACTATCTCAATACGTGTAAATTAATTGGTTTATGTGACAGTTATAGTATTTACAAATGGCGATTATATATATATATATATATATATATATATATATATTTTTTTTTTTTTTTTTTTTATTATTATTTATTATACAGGATTTATATGGTGCCAACAGTTTGCGCAGCGCTTTACAATATAAGGGAGACAGTACAATTACAATACATTCAGTACAGAAGGAATAGGAGGGCCCTGCTCGTGGAGCTTACAATCTAAAGGAAGGGGGAGGTGATACAAAAGGTGATAACTGCGGGGGATGATCTGGCAGAGGTGATTCAAGTACAGTTCTTAGGTGGAGGTGGGGTAGGCTTCCCTGAAGAAGTGAGTTTTCAAAGATCTCCTAAAGGCAGACAGGGTGGGGGCTGACTGGACATGCTGTGGTAGGGAGTTCCAGAGGATGGGAGAGGCTCTGGAGAAGTCCTGGAGGTGGGCGTGGGAGGAGGTGATGAGGGAGCTAGAGAGGAGGATATCATGGGAGGAGTGGAGTGGGCGATTTGGGCGGTATCTGTGGATGAGGTTGGTGATGTAGCTAGGGGCAGTGTTGTGGATAGCTTTGTAAGCTGTGGTTAGTATTTTGAATTTTATACGTTGGGTTAGTGGAAGCCAGTGGAGGGATTGGCAGAGAGGGGCAGCAGTCACTGATCGGTTGGTAAGGTGTATGAGTCTAGCAGCAGCATTCATAATAAACTGAAGGGGGGATAGCCTGTGTAACAGTAGACCAGTGAGGAGGGAGTTGCAGTAATCGAGGCGGGATATAACCAAGGCTGGATAATATATTACTGAGAGTTTTTTTTCATTTTTACTAGTAATCAGTGACCAGCGACTTATAGCAGGACTGCGGCAGACATTCTGACACTGGGGGGTAACTGACTTGGTGTCACTGACATCCCCTGTGACACCAATACAGTGATTAGTGCTAAAGAAAAAACAAAAAGCACTGACACTGTACTAATGGCACTGGGCAGGAAGGGGTTAACATGAGGGGTGATCAAGGGGTTAACTGTGTGCTGGGTGTGTTTTACTGTGGGGCGGTGTCTGTGTGCTTCACTGTAAACACACTGCTTTGGATGGCAGTGCTGTGCGCAGCCATCCAAAGCAGTGTGCCCGAGCTGACAAGGAGGAGAACTGTTAGTAAACAAAACGGTTCTCCTCCCCGTTGGAGATCCTCGGTAATCACCAGGCACCTGGTGATTGACGGCCACAAATGGCGGCGCGGGTAGGGCGAGCGCTCGCCCCCTACCCGGAAATGCGAAATCACGTATATATACAAGTGATTTTGTGCACCTGTGCCGCTCTGTAGCAGTATTTGTTATAGCGTGGTCGGGAAGCAGTTAACAAGTACAGAGAACACCTGTGGAAAGCAAATTAGCTTGCTTTAATATTTGCATAGTCCTTCTAGAACGATAAGGAATTACTATACATAGCCTAGCATCCACCTCCTCCACAATGACTCTTCTCATTAAACATTCTGTCCATACAAATGGTATGCAGTGCTATGTTGTTACCTTGGCTCCTGGTTCTTTGGAAGCAGTGCGGGAGATGTGCTGAAAGCTGTCAGCATCACTATAGAAACGTTCGGCTGCCGCACCTCGCTGCATATAGTGCTGGAAGGTCTCGGCCAGTTCCTCCTGAGTGTTGAGAACCAGGTGATCTCCTCCGGCGTGGGGGCTCAGACCCAATGCTTTCAGCACGCTCACCCCTGAGACTACTACATCGACACAAGCATTCACCCTGAAATGTACATGGCATAGGGTTATAGAGCTCATAGATTTCCATCCATTGTCAATTATATAACAAAACAAATGTCAGCATTGATGTGCATGTAAAGCCAAAAGTAGGCACATTGCAGGGGTGGATTTCATCGACTCCCAAGAGTTCAGCAAACCTGACACAGATGTCTATGCAAATTGCATGAAAAGTGCAAAAGAAAAAAAAAATGTGAAGACCACCTTTACATCAAAGCCGATTTTGAAATCGTGTGACTTACAGTGAAGCTGCACAATTTCAAAATTGGGTGACCTGCCGATTTCATTGCGATTTGCAAGACGTCTGAGACAGATGTCTATGCAAATCGCAACCAAAGTAGTGCATGTACTGCTTTAGAAATATGACCACTCTAATGGCGGACAATTGGGTGCAACTTGGCATACGATTTGCAGATCGCATGCCAAGTCGCACCAGATGTGACCGGGGGCTTAAGGGCCCATTTACATTATGAATTGCATAGGAGCACAATGCGCATTCCTGTGCAATTCACATGCACTTCTGTTTTGAATGGGCGGAAATCACACCGCGACAAAAGTACACTACCTTTGGGAACACACTGCAACCAGATCGCATGGTACTTTTGTACCATGCACTCCAATGTGGGCAAACGCGATCTGTTTGTGACCTCAATACATAATTTTGTATGGCTCAAATCACACTGAAAATTGCTTCGCACCCGCAGGGAAACCGCATGTGATACAGGAATCCCATTGCCATTTCAGCTGAAGAAGCATGATTTCCGTTCCAATACCATGCAGTGCGATTTGAGTCCATTCATTTTGCATGGGCTCAGATCGCACCGCATTGGTATCGGCAAATACTTAAACTCAAGCATTGGTACTCGTCAATAGAAACAAAACACAGTATCGGTGCAACCCTAAAAATTGGCATAGCTGGAATCCAGCTTGGTTGCACACATTGCCCTCGATGGGCACTCGGTACTCACCCAACGGCCACCTTCCCCCAGTGTGTGGCGGGTGCTGTGATCAGGGCGTCCCATGTCGCAGACAGAGCTTCCTCCAGAGACGGGTGAGATGGGGTCACCCCGGGGGAGATGCTCTGCAGGGATGAGGAGAGGTAGTCCTGGGCAGCTTCCAGGAAGTCCGGCTGCAGATGATGGAGGAGACCCAATGCAATGGCCATCAGGCCCACACACACCTTCACCCACATGGTTAGAAAGAGCCAATCAAGTCAATGGAAGGCGAACTTGTGAAATGTGTCTACAGTCTGCTGACCTAGCAGTTAGGAGTGCAATGCATCATCTATCATCACTGCTTACAAAGAACCATGGACTCATTCATAGTCTTCTGGCCATCGATTCAATGGAGCAGCCACCATCTCCACCAGGAGAACAGGATGACACAACTTCTACTTCACTGATCACTCCTACACTCAGAGATCTCATCACTCCATCCATCCATGGACAGAACGATCGGCACCATGCACAGCCCTCTCATAGGAATGAATGGAAGTGGAGCGCTGGGGCAGCACAGATCCCCCTCCCGATCCCAGCTCCGATCAGCGCCAGTCCAGAAAGCGGCCGCTTCGTAAGTGCGCTCTGTGAATAGGGGCCGGCGTAGGCTGGCGGAAGGGACGAGGCTGCCTTCCAATGAACAGCTGGAGAAGGTCACCTGAGGGGTTTGACTTTCAGCGCACAATGAGAACGAGGCGGAACACTCCGCACACACTCACACCAGCCGGCTCCACGTCACCAGCTGCTGATCCGAGCCGCTAACAACAAGTCATTGTATGGACCCGAGTGTGGGTGGGGAGGGGTCTCAGCCGCCATTAATCCGGAGACAAGGGGGCTATTGACTTGTGTTCTATAGCAAGGTCTCCGACAAAATGGCGGCGGCTGTATTATGCTGAGCTGTGCTTGTGGTACAGAGAGGCTTCCAGCTGTGTGACCAGCCGGTGAATGGGTGGAAGGAGGCTGAAGGAAGCCTTTTATTTCGTACATAGATTCTAATGAATGCTCCATTTTCACTTGTATTGGGAGAAGCAATAGAATTATTATATGAGAACAGAACAATGAGGCCTTATTCACACAGGCGTAGGAATGTATTCTCCAAATGTACCACAGAACATGGCTGAACAAAATGCCTCCAATGTGTATGTATGAGTGTCTATGTATATATAACAGGGAGGGTCATTGCATTCTACTGCCCAGAATAGTCATTTATTGGATAACATTTTGTACATTTACATGTGTAAATTATGCACCTACGCTCCTCTCTGAAAGCAGCTTAGCTTTTTTTTGGTTTAAAGTAGTAAAGTCTTTTTTTTTCCCTCATGTACCTACAAGCAAGTCTATAATAAGACTTGCCTGTAGGTACAGTAAATGTCTCCTAAACATGCACCGTTCAGGAGATATTTACTTTAGCAGCGCCGGTGATGTCAGTGCTCTCAATGGGCGGCTTGCTGTCCTTTGAGAGAGCCTTGCCAAGGCTCCTGTGCGCATGTACGAGTGTGTTGTCATCTCAGCTCGGCATGTCAAACGGCTGCAGTCAACCAACCCAGAAGGAAGACCGGGTGAAAGATGGAAGCCCTGGGGAGCCATGACAGCGCCAGAGGGCACCAGAGGGCTTAATTTTTAGGTAAGTCTTTCATACTGTGTTAACTATTTAAGCCCTAAGGCTAGGTTCACGTCTGTGCGGGTGGTGCCACTGCGGATCCGCACGTAAATCCGTGCAGCCGCACCACCCGCACAGAGAAATGCGGATCAGTGGGCAGGAGCCATTAGTTCTAATGGCACGTTGCCCGCACTGGAAAATGCAACCGTACTAGGAACCGAGGTTCCCGTGCATGCTGCGTTTTCAGAAGTGTAGGGACTTCTTCCCTGCATGTCACGGGCACGGGAGTCCATTTAAATGAATGGGCTCTCGTGCTCGCGCAAAATGCGGCCCACACGGCCACAGATATGTGAACCACACCTTATTGTAAATCATAATTTTTGGCAAATAAATCTATACTGAACGAGGTTCCATTTTCCTACGCACCATCTGGCCAATTGATGAATCTAAAATATAACCTTTATTCAAGTATATAAAAAAAAATGTATGTTCAGCTGTAATTAATGCCTATTGGAGTGGAATGTACTGCGCACAGCAATATGACTGAATACCATTGCAATTGTTTGCCTTACATCCAAATTGTTATTAACACCAGAACAGAACAAATACCATACCGTTTTAGATGAAGTGACGGCATACAAGGAGGTACTGTAGTTTGATCAGAAGCCTATCATCTTGAATATATAATCTCTGTTAAGGAAATGGAGTTACTCCATAGACAAACTGATTGAATAGTATAATCTATCTTGCTACAGATATGTAGTAAGGGTACACTCATCCATGGGCGTAAATGTCAGCCTCCCACGGAAAAGCCCCATACGTCACCATATCCACTAAAAATACCTCACTGTCTTGAGGAATGCAAATGATGCACTGTAAAACGCAGTACAGAAATGCAGCGATACATACTAGCACATTATGCTCTTGATTTCCAGGGAGAAGATTTTTTTTTGTTGTATTTGCTGTTACCTCCACTTTAATGCCTTCAAACACTGCTTTAAATGTCCGATGTGCATGAATACATAGGCTAAAATAAAACAGCATTTAGAGGTATAACAAAAATGCCTTACACCTGTAAAAGCAGTACTTTGTATGCCTGCGTGCATGAAGACTTAGGTTTAGTTTACACTTTGGGTTGGGGGGGTGGTATTATCAGGTAATTGAGCCTCATTTTAAACCCCACCCTCTAAAGCTGGTGCAAGGATATACACTTGCCATGGACTGATTGGCATCACAGCACAGCGAAAACCAGGCCTTTTTTTTTTTTTCTCAAAGAAAGATAGGTGCAGGCACTCTCTCCACCCTGACTACCGCTGAGCACTTATCTCTGCCCCCTATCCACCTCCTAAAACCGCTCCTTGAAGGGATTACAGAGCCAAGTATTATTTTGTGGTGGTAAGTAGTTTGTATGCAATTGGTTAATGATAACAGACTCTCCACAGGAACAAAATATACCCACAGCAACACTAGATCTGCCCCAGCAACAAAAGACCCCTGCTGGCAACAATAGATCTCCCAGCAGCCAGCATCAATAGACCCTCCCCCCTCAGCAGTGGATCCCCCAACAACATAACCCCCACCAGCAACAATAGACCCCCCTCCCAACTGTAGATTCCTCCAGCAACAATAGAACCCCCCCCCCCACCCACACTAAACCCCCCAGCTGCAAAAGATCGCCAATCCCTTTTATATTGTAGGCAGGTTCCCTCCATCCTGTAGGTGACACTGTGCCAGTATTATAGATAGAGTGGAATCTGTTAGAATTGTCCCCTCATGGGTTCCATCAGTTCTCAGAGGTCAGCTGATGGATTGGACACTGTATTCTCTTAACCACTTGCCTACTGAGCACTTATACCCCCTTTGTGCCCAGGCCAATTGTCAGCACTGTCACACTCTGAATGACAATTGTGTGGTCCTGCAACACTGTACCCATATTAAATTTGTATCACTTTTTTCACACACATAGAGCTTTCTCTTGGTAGTATTTAATCACCACTGGGTGTTTTATTTTTTGCACTATAAACAAAGAGCAAAAAATTTGAAAGAAAAAAAATTTCTTTGTGTCTATTATAAAATTTTGCACACAGGTAATTTTTCTCCTTCATTGATGTGCGTTGATGAGGCTACACTGATAAGGTGGCACAGATAGGCAGCACTGATGGGCATTGATGAAAGGCACTGATGATGCTGCACTGATATGCAGCAATGATGGTCACTGATGAGTAGCGCTGACTGATGGCACTGACTGACAGCCCTAACAGGCAGCACTGACTGGTGGAAGGCACTGCTGGGCACTGGTGGGTGGCACTGATCATCAGTGCCCTGTTGATCCGTGCCGATCTGTTCTGTGACAGCTGCTGGTTATCAGCAGTACTTTCCTCACGCTGTGACAGCGTGAAGAAAGTGCTGCCGATAACCGGCAACTGTATTTACTCCATGATTGGCTGTGTCATTGGACACAGCTGATCACGTGATAAAAGGGCGCTGTGATTGGCCTTTTACCTCATCACGTGATCAGATGTGTCCTATGGGCACGAGGGAGGTCACATGCTGGGAGGACGTCATATGATGCCCTCCCAGAATTGGGTAACTGCGTTGTAGCCGCCATTCGGCTATAGCATGGTTACCAAGTGGTTAAGATCTCCCACGGGCTGAACAAAAGAAATCTCTACATGTATGACAAGCTTTACTCCTTGTTCTACAATCCCTCACGGCACCTCCTTTTCATTCTGACTTGTTCCATTTGGTAACTAATATTTAAACATCACAGTCCTTCAGTACTACTTATAACTCTGTCTCCTCCTCTGCACTTACTCTTTCTGTAAGGGTCCCCCAAGGCTCTGTTCTTGGACTCCCCTCATGTTAGGGTACTAGGTGTAATCCTAGACTCTGATCTGTCCTTTCAGCCCAAAAACAAATTGCTGTCAAAAGGTTGTAGACTTCACCTCCAGAATTTGCCTCTTTTTAACTAATAAAACCACCAAGCTGCTCCTTCACTCCCTTGTTATCTCTTGCCTTGACTATTGCAACTACCTTCTCATAGGCCTATCTCTCCGTAAGCTACCCCCTCTTAAGTCTAGCATGAATGCTGCTGCCAGAATCATCTGCCTTATTAACCGCTCAGTGTATGCCACCCCTCTCTGCCAATCTCTCCACTGGCTTCCAGTTGCCCAGCAATATAAACTCAAAATACTAACGACAACATACAAAGCCATCCACGACTCTGCCCCGAGCTACATCACCAATCTTGTCTCCAAATATCACCCAAACCGTCCTCTCATGACCTCCAGCTCTCAAACTCTCTTGATTCCTCCCATGTTCTTCTCCAGAGCCTCTCCTATCCTCTGGAACTCTCTGCCTCAATCTGTCTGGCTATCTTCTCTGATTCCTGAAAACTCTTCAGGAAAGCTTATCACACCTCCAACTAACAACTGAAATTTTAACATTTCCATCAGCAGAGATAAAACCTTTTGTACCACTTGTCCCACCCATTAGATTGTAAGCTCTTATGAGCAGGGCCCTCTTAACCCTCTTGTATTTTATTCTATTGTAACTGTGCTGTCTCCCTTTAGATTGTAAAGTTTTGCGCAACTGTTG